GGGACTATTGCATCTTTTAAAAAGATCGTTTAAATATTGCGGCTGTTCTGATTAGCCACTTTGGATTATCTTCTTGTGTGAATTTAAAATTGTGTTGCCACATGGTTCCATCTATCCAACCGTAGTGTGAGTGAGTGCACCTGCCCATGAATGAAAAAGCCCAACCGAGGTTCTCAATGAACTAAGGGTTTTTATCATTGGCATTCTGTTGTCTTTTAAGGGAAAGACACAAATTAGTCCACAGTAGAAACCTATTGCTTATAGAAGCACACATGCAAAACAAGGGGAGGGAGAGATTGTGTTTTCTTGGATGGTTGGGTGGATAAGTAGAGATGTGAAACCGTGGCATGCATGTACAGGAGCTCTGTTGCTCAGAGTGTAAAGTGAGCCAACGGTGTGGTGTGAAATGTGGACAAGTGGGTCCCAAGGGCTTCTGTAGGGTACAGGAGAGCCACTGATGGCTTTTCAGTGGTTAGACTTGGTTTCTGGAGATTTTCCTGAGAGGAGTATGTAGCCCAGACGTCAAGGAACAAAACTCAAAACAGGAAGGAGAAATGACCGCAGTAAGGATACAGAAGTTAGTATGAGTTCCTAAGTGAGGAAATAGGCAGTAAGAGCTAAAATGGGTATGACTTTCTTAAGATGTGGAGAGGGTTGGGTTGCAGGGAGAATCTAGAATAATCCTAAATTCCTGGCTGTGTCAGTTGAGTTACTGAGATGTGTTTTACTGGAAGAGAATCATATTGTAGACGAGAGATAATTTCAAATAACACACACATCTCCCTTCATTAAAATCGACAATTAGGGCCAGAAAGGGGGGATGTGGCTTAGTGGGTAAAAGGCTTGCTATGCTATTGTGGTCTGAGCTGGAGCCCTCACACACAATGTAAATGCTAGTCTTGCAGTGACCTCTGACACTAGCACTGGGAGGAGGTGTGTGTAGGAGAACCCCAGGGCCTCACTGGTCACCAGCTTAGCAAAGAATGGGTGAGCTCTAGGTTCAGTGAGAGTCAGACCCTGCCTTAGAAAAATTAAGATGGAGAAAGAAGACACCTCTGTGTCCGCCTCTGGCTTCTCTGTCCACGCACATGCAGTATACACGTACACACCTAACAGTTACCAGTACTTGGTTTTGATAAGGTTGGTAATGAGGCACTTGGAGAGGGAATGTCAGGTTTTGCAGAATTGTTTTGTGGTTGAGCGGACTATGTGGATATGTTTTTTTTCCTGGCTTTAGGGAACGATCATTCTCTCACCTTCAGTATAGTATTAGCTGTGAATTTTCTATTGACACCACTTGTCAGGTTGAGAAATGGAATCCCTATTTGCTGAGTCTCTTGATCATTAGAGGGTGTTTGATTTTGTTAAATGTTTTTTTATGCACTGTATTAGTTGCATTCTGTACATTTTGTTTATGTTGCCTTTTTCCAATTTAATCTGAATGTTTTTGTTTTAAAAAATATTTTATTATGCTAGCATGGTGGCACATGCTTGTAATCGCAAGTGGGGAAGTAGAAGCAGGTGGATTTCTGTGAGTTTGAGGCCATCCTGGTCTACAAAAATGAGTCCAAGATAGCCAAGGATACACAGAGAAACCCTCTCAGAAAACCAAAAGCCAAAAACAAACAAACAAAGAAATACATATTTTATTTTAAAGTGCATGGATGTTTTGCTCCTGCTTGTGTGTCCATGCCCCAATGTGTTTGCAGTGCCTGAAGATGCCAGAAGAGGGTGTCAGGTTCCCTGGGATTGGAGTTATGGACCATGTGTGTGCTGGGAATTGAACTTGGATCCTCTGGAAGAACAATCAGTGCTGCTGAACCATCTCGCCAGCCCCTGGAAGCATTTTCTCATTTCCCTACTTGGACTGGCGACATAAGGTTCAGTGCGCAAGAGACCTACAGCACAAGCCTGATGGCCTGAGTGCAGATACTCAGAACCACATTCAAGTTGGACATAGAGTAGGCATCTCAAGTTGTAGCTGATTCCTACTGGTTTGTGGGAGCAGGAGGCCAGAGATTCTCCAGGAGCTAATGGGCTAGCTAGCCTGGCATAGGTGGTCGTGAATAATAGGAGACCCAGTCTCAAACAAAGTTGAAGGTACAAACCAGAAACCTGAGGTTGGCTTGTGGCACCATTGTGCCTAAACTCACAGTAATTTCCCACATGACCTAATTTTTCATTGATCTGCAGTTTATAAATTTCCATATTTGTAAAATTTCTAGATTTTCTTTAAAAATCATTTAAAAATGACTTATGTGTATTGAGTATTTTGCTTGCATGCTAATCTGTATATACCCTGTGTGTCTGGTGCTGTGGAGGCCAGAAGAGGGGTCATGATAGTAGTAAGCTACCATCTGTCTGCTTCTGCCTTGAGAGTGTTGGTGTCAAAGGTGTGCACAACAATGCATGGCCAAAGAACAAGCTTTTAACTGTTGAGCCCTCTCACTAACCCCTCCTGTTTTTGATGGCTATTTTTAATTCATTATAAACAGAGAATACATTTCTCAAGATTTGAATTTTTAATTAATTTTTACTATTTTAAATTAAGTGTGTGTATATGTGTGACTCTCTGCATGTGGCTTCAGGTGTCTGAGGAGGTCACAAGAGGATGTCAGACCCCCTAGAGCTGGAGTTGGAGGCAGGCGGTTGTGAACTGCCTACCATGGATTCTAGGAACTGAACTCTGCAAGAGCAACAGATGTACTTAACTGCTTAGCCATTTCTGTGGGCTGGGCTCTGTGATGTAATATTTTAAAAACCACATTGAAGTTGATTTTAGCTTGATATATGGATTTGTTTTACAGAATCTCCCATGTGCACTTGGGAATGTGTTTTCTGCTGTTGTTGTGTAGAATTTTGTTAGTCTGGTAGGGCTAGTTGGTTTGTGGTGGTGTTCCAGTTTTCTCTTTTTATGCTGACTCATTGAGAGTGAGATCTTGAAATCCCTAACTACTGTTGATGAATTGTCTGGGTTTTTTCCCCCCTTTACTTCATCAGATTTACTTCATTTTGTGGTTCTCTTGTTGGGTAAAGTATAACCTACATATGAAGACTGAGCTACCCTTGGCCGTAACATGATGCCTTTCTTTTTTTTTTTAATTTTTTATATTAATTACAGTTTATTCACTTTGTATCCCAGCTGTAGCCCCTTCCCTCATCCACTCCCAATTCCACCTTCCCTCCCTCATCTCCTCCTATGCCCCTCTCCAAGTCCACGGATAGGGCTTTTTAGTAATGGTGTTTGTCTTAAAGTCTTTTTTTTTTTAATTTGGTATCAGAGCAGTCCCTGCACTTGTTTATGATCAGTTAGTATCTGGGGCCCGACAACAAAGGACAGAATAATTCACTAAGGGAGGATGCATTTTGAGCTGACCCAGGAAGAGGTAAAATATGCAATCAGCTGCAAGCCTTCCATTAGCTGTGTGGCGTGGATAGCACTTCAGGAGAAGGCCTGTGGTGAGACCTCGGTTATACACCCATGGTCTTTGGAGGAGAGATGATGGAAATAGTTTCCTTTTTTTGAGTGTCTGTTCTTGTGATCCTGGAGGCAAATCCTTGTTATCATTGCTTGACAATATGATATCACATTTTCCTGTACTGGGGACTGAAGTGAAGAAGGGAGAGACAGAATCAGGATAAAAGAAAGGTTTTTCACCCTTTCCTGTGCCCTTTTAAGGTTGGTGCTGTACTTTAAGAGGCTAACACAGAAGGGTAAAGAAACTCTCCATCAAACCCAGAGAAGAGGCTGTACACCTCCTCTTTGGATCCTGTCTGGAGTCACAGCTGAAAAGCAAACAACATAATATGTTTTTGACAGAACTAAATAAACTGTAGGTAGCAACTTGGAAGGAGTCCATGTAGACATAAAGCTAAAAAAAGATATAAACTTTTTTTCTTTCTTTTAATTTATTTACTTTATGCATGAGTGCTCTGCCTGCATGTGTGCCTGCAGGCCAGAAGAGGGCATCATATCCCAGTATAGATGGTTTTGAGCCATCATGTGGTTGCTGGGAGTTGAACCCAGGTCCTCTGGAAGAGCAGACAGTGCTCTTAACCTCTGAGCCATCTCACCAGCCTGTAAAAATAGATTTTCAAGAGAGTAACTTATGAAAGGATTTGTTTGTTTATTTATTTTGTCAGGGCCCCAAGGAAAATATTGGCTGTTGCAGTTGTAGTGGGTCTGTGCTGGTGCCTGAAAAGAATCAAGCCTGTTCATTCTTTGGGTTGTTTTCAGAGAACAGTTTTCTTCTTGCCTTTTTATTTTGTTTATGATCAGTTAGTATCTGGGGTCCGACAACAAAGGACAGAATAACCTACTGAGGGAGGATGAATTTTGAGCTGACCCAGGAAGAGGTAAAATAAGAAGTCTGCTCAAGCTGTAAGCTGTGTGGTGTGGAGAAGGGGTGTGGTGAGGCCATGGTCTCAGGGTCTTTGGGGGAGAGATGGTGGAAATAGTTACTTTTTGTTGAATGTCTGTCCTTATGATCAAACTATATTATTTTAGCTCAGAAGAGATAGAACGGAAGGATTCAAAGCTCAAAAGTCAAAGCTCTATCAGTTGTTTTCTGATGATTCCCCTACTCCCACCCAACAAACTGCAGATTTGTGTTTCTCCCCTGCAGGGAGATTTTTTTTTGGGAGGAGGAAGGGGGTTCAAACCAATGCATATAAATAAAATGTGAGCTTGAAGTCAGGGGGATCACCCAACCCAGGTCATTCATACTCTTCTTGGCACTCTCCTACCCTCCTGAGTTGAGCTCTGAAGCTCCTGTTTGAAAACCATTGTTTCACCACACTGCTATTCAGCACTCAGGGAGAGCAATTGTAAGTTACTACAAGAATGTGGTCGGAGGCTTTCTGCTCATTGTATATGGCAGCCCATATTAATATTAATGTTATATTCATATTAATAGAGTTCATCAGAGCTGCCTTACCTACCTTTGTAACAATACTGTAGAAGATGCGTGTTCATGGGCTTAACTTCCTTTGTCTTGAAGGTTGTGGCAGCATTGCCTGAAGATATGAGAGCAGACTTTAATCCCAACGGTTTTTCATTGGAACTGGCAATAGGTGTGCTTACTATTGGGCTGCTTGCAGTTCTCTTGTTTCTATGGAGAGGCTTCCGATCAGTAAGTAACCACTGCATACTAAGAGAATATTCGTTTTCTTTTAAAATATTTTTTAGGTTTATTTTATGTATATGAAATGTTTTACCTGCATGTATGTACGTATAGCACATGTGTGCCTTGTACATACAGAGGTGAGAAGAGGGCTTTAGATGCTGTGGAACAGGAGTTATATACAGATGGATGTGAGCTACTATATGGATGTTGGAAGTTGAACTCTGGTCCTCTACAAAAGTAACAAGAGCTCTAAAGCACTGAGCCATCTCTCCAACCCTCATTCTGTCTTTATTTAGATTGAACAACTAATTGGAGAAACGTGTTTGTTATTTCAGGGAAATAAGTTGGGTCATGGTGTTCCGGGCTACTCATAGTCGTATATCGTTATTAGAAACTGAATATAGATTCAGAGAAATGTTTGTATATAAGGATTTTAAAGGATTTTCTTTGTAGGGATACTACATACTAGTACCAAAGTCCCACCCTTTATGTCTCCTCCTCCTGTTTTTTGTTTTTTTGGTCTGTGTTTGTTTTTAACAGCATAAAAAACCAGCAGATGTATCTACCTACCAACATAGAATAAAAACACTGTTCAGTTCATAGTTCCTGACTTCATCCCTCTGGCTTGCTGAGTTAGAGATTCCCCAGTCCCAGATCCTGTGTTTATTCCCATACTTAGAGTTGTTTTAAGAGGGAGTCATATCATATCCTTTTCTTTCTGAGACTTCTTTTTAGATGTTAGTCCTGTGCTTCTGACTCCATTTCTGATGTCTTCATGGCTCTCTGAGGCTCTCCAGAAGGATTTCGTCTACTCAGTGTTGCCTTTCCCCTGTCTCCTGTTTACACACATCCTATTACTTCTTGTCTTTTTTATTTTCTCTTCTAGTTTCCTGTCTCTTCATCTTTTCTAGATATAAATTTCCCTTTTGTTTGTTTTCCTTGATCATTTTGCTCTAGCCCCAGGGCTTTCACCATGAGTTGATTTATCCCTTCTTTATTGAGAGCTGAAGCTTAAAGACGAAGAAGGCTGATGGATGTTTTAGTCCATGTTTAGAGCCCTGTGGTATTTCTTAGACTGCTTTATTTCGATTACTAACAGCAGGGGCTCCTTGGAATACTTTGTATTAGGGCCAAATATGTATATGTGGGAAACATGGGTGTAAGTGAAATAACAAGTGTCTTCAGAATGAGGAGGCTGTTCCAGAGCCTTTAGTATGACAACACACATGAATCTTCAGTGGGAGAGCTTACTATTTAATACCATTGTCATCGAAAATAGAGTACCTTTAGGTAACTCATTCACTGTAAGGCTGTAAGACGTTGTTATCTTAAAGTTAGAGTGGAAATCAAATGGGTTTACTTGAAAGTATATTTGTTTTAATATAATTTTGTTAAAAATTTGTTTCAGATTCAAAGCCGATTTTATGTGGGTAAGTTATTTTTCTATTTTAGATCTCATTATTGTATATAATTTAAATGCTTATAATAGTTTAGTCATAATAATAATCTTTCTTTTTGTTCAGGAAGAGAAAAAAAACTCGCTCTTGAGCTTTCTGCACTAATTGAAGAAAAATGTAAACTACTTGAAAAAGTTAGCCTTGTTGAAAAGGAGGTAAGACATGTTTGAAGTAACATCAGTGGTAGTGTCTGGAACTTACTGACTCCACATGGGTTACTCAGAGCATCAGGTCTTTGCTTTAGAGCTGAGCTCTGTCACTCAATCACCTCCATCACTTAGCCATTCTCTATGCAGTCACCCTGATGAGGTAGAGTCACCCTAATCAATGAAGTGCAGCCCCTTGGTTCGCTTACTGCTTATTTAGATAGACTTTTTGTGAAATTGCCTTTTTGTCTTTATCACCCTTAAATAATTACATTATTTTTTTATGTGTGTCTATTTATACCTGTTCATGTGCACATATACCAAGGCACACATGTGGTTGGTCATAGGATATATGGATGAGTCAGCTCTCTCCTTTTCCCATGTGGGTCCCAGTTGAAGTCTTGTTGTCAACCTTGGCAGCAAGCTCCTTAACTCCTGTGCCATCTCGTTGGCTCATTTCCAACCTTTAAAGACACTCATAATCTTTTTCCCTTTATGTTATATAGAAGCAGGGTTTTGTTTTGTTTTTAATATTTTATATCATATATAACAGTTTTGTCAAATATATGGATTATAAATATCTACTCTGTGACTTATATTTCTATTTTGTTTGGTGTCTTAGAAAACTGGTTTAGAATTAATGTAGTGTAATGTGTCTTTGTTTATGTTTGTTTTTTGCTTCCTCCTTAAAAAAGATTTTTGCCTATCAAAAATGTAAAGGTACCCATATTTATTATTGTGTAGATGCTTTATTTACTTTTCATTTGGAGTTTGTATTAGCTTGCTAGGGTTGCTGTGATAAGATACCACATTAGTAGCAGGAATGGATTTTCTTACAGTTCTGGAAATACGAGTTAAAGATTGAGGTCTAGGTAGGCTTTGCTTTTTCTGTGGCCTGTCCCTGGACTTGTAGATAGAAGTGCCTGCTTGCCGTGTCTCATTCCGTCCTAATGCTGTCTTCTTAGGATACCAGTCGTATTAGCTTAGGGCCGTCTGAACTGCCTCAGTTTAACCTAGTTACCATTGAACCTAGTTTCCAAATAATAGACATGTTCTCTTAAGTGCTGACACTTAAAAGACAGGGTTTATCTGTGTAGCCCTGACTGTCCTGGAACTCGTTTGTAGACCAGGCTGGCCTCAAATTCATCAGAGATCTCTCTTGAATGCTGATATTATAAACACGTGTCACCATGCCCAGTTTCAGAATGAACATTTTTATAATGTTGAATTCTTACCTGTGGATTATAGTACCATTTTTCTGTACATCCTTTTTAAATGTTTTATTTATTTATTTATTTTTTTGAGACAGGGTTTCTTTCTGTATAGCCCTGGATGTCCTAGAACTCACTCTGTAGAGGCTGGCCTCGAACTCAGAGATCTCCCTGTCCCTGCTTTTCAAGTGCTGGTTTAAAAACATGTGCTACCACTGTCTGGTAAACATATGTATTTTTTTAATTTTTAAATTTTTTTACATGTATGTCTGTGCTGTGTATGCATGCAGTACTTGCAGAATCCAGAAGCCATCAAATGTCCTGGAACTAGATTCACAGACAGCTGTGAACTGTCAAGTAAAATTAGGTTATATTTTGGGGGCTTTTTCTAATCACCCACTCTAGCTCTCAAATAATGAGACAGACCTATTAAGATTTTTTCAGTAAGCTTTAAAGCACTAGAGCTTTAATAGATATTTATCTATTCTAACTCTCTACTAAGTTAGTCTGGCTACTTCCCAGTCACATGCCCAACATCCAATTTCTTGGATATTGGTCCTGTCTGGGCTGCTTCTGCTCCATCAGGTCAGTCCTCATGGTCAAGTCCTTTCTCTCCCTCTTCCTCCTTCTCTCTTCCTTTTTTATCCTGTCTGGGATCTTGTGGTCTCTACCTGAGACCCCTCAACTGGGAACGGAAGTCCTGCCATCCTATCTCCTGCCTAGTCATAGGCTGCTTAGCTTCTTTATTGACCAATCAGAGGTAATTGGGGAACAATGTTTACACAATATTGATACAGGAGACTCTTCATAGAAATGGCAGTGCCCGTGCCTGCATTGTAACTAGATCTTGGGGTACAAAAATTAGCATCTGAATACACAGCACACTAGACAAACCCCCAATAATGCCATGTAGGTGCTGGAATTAAACCAGGATCTTATGGAAGAGTAATCAGTGCTCTTAACCACTGAACCATCTCTCCAGCCCTATTCATTTTATTTTTAATTGTGTCTCTGTGTGTGTACACACATGAGTACAGAGTACAGAAGGTGTCAGACCGTTGGGGCTAGAGTTATAGGAGCTTGTGAACTATATAATGTAGGTCCTCTGCAAGAGTAATATGTGCTCTTAACCACTGACCCACCTCTGTAGCTCTCCCTACCCATTTTTTTTTTTTTTTAAGACAAGGTCTCATGTAGCCCAGGCTTGCCTTACACTCTGTGTAGCTGAACCTTGAACTTCTGGATCTCCCTACCTTCCAAGTACTAGGATTTCTTCACCCCCACAGCTTCATTGGGTTACAGTTTCTACTGCACAGTTGACTCACTTATTTGAAGTTTGTAGGTGAGTCAGCTGTGGTGATATATGACTGTACCCCAGCATTTTGGAAGCATTACAAGTTTGATTATAGGACAATTACAAGTTTGAGATTATCTTGGGCTACATGGTGAAATTCCATGCCCTTTCCAAAGTATGTAGATGAATGGCTTTTGTTATATTCATAGATTTGGATATCCATAATAGCAATCAGCTTTTTTGAACATTTTTATTAGCCCAAAGAAACCCTAAATTTCTATTATTACCCTTCACTCAGTTTTCCCACAGTATGTAGTCCTAGTTACTTCCGTGCTTTCTATTTCTATAAAATGTTTATTCTGGACATTTCCTTTCTTTCTTTCTCTCTTTCTTTCTCTCTTTCTTTCTTTCTCCTCCCTCCCTCCCTCCCTCCCTCCCTCCCTCCCTTCCTTCCTTCCTTTTTTTTTGTGACAGGGTTTTTCTTTGTAGCCCTGGCTGTTCTGGAATTCATTCTGTAGAACAAGCTGGTCCTGAGTTCACAGGGATCTATCTGCCTCTGCCTCCCGAGTACTGGGATTAAAGGTGTGAGCCACCATTGCCTGGGCTACTCTAGATATTGTCTGTAGAAGGAATATGAAGCCATTCTTTTTCTTATTGGCCTTATCCCTAGTGTGAGTTAGGCACAGATAGAGCAGTTTCACTCTTAGATGTACACACAAAGAAAATGTGATTCCATCTGTGTTGCCGCATACATCCAAATTAAATCTTGCCAAATAGTACTTTACCCCATAATTTATATATTTGTTTGCTATTTGATGGCCCTTTGTGTTATTTCACTTACATTGTTATAGAAAGATAGCTCAACTGTCAAGAGAACTGGCTGCTTTTACAGAGGACCCAGATTTGATTCCCAACATTCACGTGGTGGCTCACATCTGTTTATAAGTCCAGTCCTAGGTCATCCAACAGCCTCTTCTGGTCCATGTGGAACGTAGACATACACATAGGTGAAACACCCCTGTATATAAAATTAATAAATAATACACGTTAAAAAATAACAATGCTTTTGGCATTCATGGTAAGTTTTTATGTGAACATGCATTTTCAGGTGCTTTGGATATTTACCTAGGAGTGCTGTGTCTGTATTTATGTTTTGGTAGAATTGTCAAACTCTTCCACCGTGCTTGTACCATTTTGCGTTTCCACTAGAATGTGAGTGTTCCAGTTTCTCTCTATCCTTCTCAGACTGTGCTGTGTTGTTATCCTACTGGCTGAGTAGTGACAATAGTTTTCACTGGCCTTTCCTTGGAGACTAATGACATTGAGTATCTTTAATGTTTATTTGCCACTTGCTGTCTTATTTGGAGAAAAGTTTATTTAGTTTATAACTATATATTTATTTTTGAGACAACCTTACCAGTAGCCCAGGCTGCCCTTGAATTCTCCATCTTGCTGTAGCATTCTAAATACAGGGATTATAGATGTGCTGCAGCTTTATATATCTTGGATACAGAGACCTTACTAGATACATGCTAACAAATTCTTTTGTGGTTGTTTCCATCCTCCCCTCCCTCCTTTCCTCCCTCCTTCCTTTCCCTCTCTCTCCTTCCTTCCCTCTCTCCTTCCTTTGCTCCCTCCCTCATTTCCTCCCTCTCTTTCTGTCTCTTTGTCTTTGTGTCTGTCTGGCTCACTCTTTTTTTTTTTTGAGACAGTCTTTTTTTGTAGTCCAGATTGTCCTTGAACTTGAGGTAGTCTTCTGACTGCCCAGGCCTCCTGAGTGCTGGGATTATTAGCGTGACCCACCATAGGTAGCTGATTTTTCTTTCTCTGTCTCTTTCTTTCTTTCTTTTTGGCGTTTTGAGACAGGGTTTCTCTGCGTAGCCCTGGCTTTCCTGAAACTCACTCTTAGACGGTGCTAGCTTTTAACTCAGAGATCCACATGACTCTTCCTCCTGAGTATTGGAACTAAAGGCATGTGCCACCATGCCCTGCTGTCTCTTTACTTTCTTAATGATGTGTTTTGTTTTGTTAATATTTATTTTTTTATGTGTATGAGTGTTTTTTACCTGCATGTATGTCTGTGTACTGTGTGATTTTTCTGGAACCTGAGTTGCAGGCTGTTGAGAGCCACTGTGTGGGTGCTGAGTACTGCTAACCACCAGAGCCTTGTTTCCAGCCAGCCATAGAGGTATCTTTTGACATCTGTCTCACTATTTAACCCTGGGTGGCCAGTAATTTCCTATGTATACCATGCTGGCCTTGAACTCAGAGATCTGTCTGCTTCTGCCTCCTGAGTGCTGGAAATCTAGGCATATACTATCATGCCTAGCTTGATGATATTAAAACATAAATGTTTCAAATTTTGATGGTCAGTTTATTTATCATTTTTTGTGTTTTTGGTTGTAGAAACAAGAAATGGGAGGTTAATTCAAGGTGACAGATTTACACTTGAATCCATGTAAAAGTTTTACAGATTTAACTCTTGTGTCTAAGTCGTGACCTATGTAGAATTGAATTTCATATCTAGTATGAGGTAGAATTCCTCCTTCAATCTCTTGCATGTGGCTCTTTGGTTTCTTTCTCCATGGAATTGTGGTAGAATAGAACATTAATTTTGTCAGTTGAAGAGTTTGCATAAAGGAGATCATGCTGTTTTATATTGGCTTTATAGTCAGCATTGCATTTATGAGATTCGTTCTGTTGTGCACATACTATATTTTTTCTCTGCTGATTAAACTTTTACTGTATCAGTGCACATACTTGCATATCACTTCAATTCTTGGTATTATTATTCCTAAGTCTTGGCTATTAAGAATAAAGTTATAAACATTTTTTCCTACAAGCTTATTTTTGTAGCATGTGTTCTAATTTCTGCTTACTAAATATCTAGTACTAGAATTGGCAGGTCATTAAGCTGGGTATAGTTTAGCTTTATAAGACACTTTCTGAGTGCTTTAAAATTATTCTTTCACAATTCCATACATATATAATATATATAATGTACTTTGTTCATATTTTTCATCAACTCATTACTCTATCAAGTTCCGCCTTCCAATCAAGGGCTCCTCAGTATGTCCTCTTGACAACTTGTCCCTTTATTACTATGTAGTGGCCTTCCATATCTCTTCTGACTGGCTTTGCTTTGAAGTCTCTCTTATCACATAGAAGAATGCCAACTTCTTAGCAACGTCCATATGAGTGGTACATTTGTTTCCAACTTTGACTCAGTTTTTGGATACCTTTTCTAGTTAAATGAGTTTCTTAGAGAACAACACATAGTTGCATAGTTGGAGCTTGTTTTCCAATACAGTCAAGTAGCCGTTTTTTTTTTTGTTTTGTTTTTTGTGTTTTTTTTTGTTTTTTTTTTTTTTGTTTTTTTGTTTTTTTTTTTTTGAGGTAGTCTCTTACTATGTAGCTCTGGTTAGCTTAGAACTGAAAGAGATCCACCTGTTTTTTGAGCTGGGGTTTTTCTGTGTTTAGCCCTGGCTGTCCTGGAACTTGCTTTGTAGACCAAGCTAGCTTTGAACTCTGCTTCCTTCTATCTCCCAAGTACTGAGATTAAAGGCATGCACCACCATGCCCAGCTTCTGTCTCTGCCTTCTAAGTGCTGGGATTAAAGAAATTAGAGGTATGAAAAACAATGGAGGAAATATTGTACATCAGTATTTAAAGAGTGAGTAAAAGGGTAGTGGGAAAAGGGACAGAAGGGGAACATTAGAAAAAGAAGAAAAGCATTAGGGTTAGAGGGAAAAAAGGACAGAGAGAAGAGCCTTTCTCTCTAAGATGCAAGTTCCCACATAACAACCAAACACCTAAAGTATGAAAGTGTTCATAGTAAAATAAAGAAATAAAATTAATGATTAAAATTATGTATAAGTAATTGGAAAATTAAAATTAAAATAATAAAAACACAAATGAAGAATACAATGAAATAGAGGTGTTATGTTCGTGGTCAGTACTCCTTCCTGCTCTATGTACGGTGCTACGTATGTTTTCTGTGATTCCTATAGCTCCTCCCTCGTGTACCTGGGCTGTGGGTGTCAGTCCCATCTAGATACTGTTCCAAGTTCTGCAGGTTCGTTCTTTTGTTCTGAGGGGCAGTAGCAGGGCTAAGAGGATGAGGCTTGTAGTATTTCAAATAAATACAAGGTCCCATGTCCCCTCTTTGGCACTTTCATAAACATAATTTTCTGAGCTGGTCTCTTCTGGTGTATACAGCCTCTAAGCTAGTACTTCCAATAGTCTGTCCCAGGTCTGAGCCCTGCTGTGGCATGGAGGGAGAATAGTGTGCATTGGAAGGCTCTGGATCGGATTCCCTGTCCCCATTTTGAGTGTTGTGGTTCATTTTCCAAACTTGGATTTGAATGTGTGCTTGGAGTCCTTACTGGGCACGATTCGGTCGGTTCTTGCTGCCCAGTTGTGACTGGGTGTGCTTGTGCAGGAAATCCCAAATAGTCCTATTTTTCCTTTCTGTAGCTGTTTCTCTGTGGTATTACATCCTGACTTTCTTCTACTCTGACTCCTGGTCTCTCAAACACCACTTGTAAATTACCACTGAAAATCAGGCTGTTGGTATCTTTTCAGCTTGTTTATTATTTGTCATGGACTATCATGCTGCTTTATAGAATTCATTTGTTGGCCTTGTAGTTTTGGAGGCAGGCTTAGGAGTTTCTCTACATATAACATGTCATGTTAATTAGCTCTAGAGGAACAGAATTAATAAAAAAAAATATATATATATATTCCCTTTATATATATATATATATATATATATATAAAGGGAATTTCTTAGAATGGCTATCAGGCTGTGGTCTTGCTAGTACAACAATGGCTGTCTCCCAACAGAAAAGCCCAGAATTTGATAGTTGTTCAGTCTTCGAGGCCAGATGTCTCAGTCTTCCGCATACCTTGGAATCCCAAAGAAGTAGGTTCTAATACTAGCAAGGAATGTCTCAGCAGCAGGATAGATGAACTTGCCAGTGAGGACAAGTAGGCAAAAAGCAAAAGCTTCCTTTTTCCATGTTTTTTTATATGGACTGCCACCAGAAGGTGTGGTCCACATTTAGGATGGATTTAGCACCTCACATGGTCCAGTCAAGATCAAGGGATGCCTGGCTGCTTGGGTTTTAGTTGATTAAAGGATGTGGTTAAGTTGATAACCAAGATAGTTATCTCACGTGCTGTCTGCACATTTTTGGTCTGGTTACATTTGGAATCTCTTCTCTGACTGCTCTCAGTAGGACTTCCAGCTCTTGTTGGAGCGGGTACCTTTGCCCTGCTTTCAGTTCCTCCCCATTAATCCTGTTGGCTGTATTTTCATAAATGACCTTTATCAAGACGAGGGACTTTCCTCTTATACAAGTCTTGGTCAGGAAAGGATGCTGAGTTTTGTTCAGGCTCCCTGTTGATCTGTGTGCTTGTCCTATATGCTCATGTGGTCTGGTGGAGTGATGGGTCAAACTGACTGTGTTTAGCCTCAGTGCTGAGATAAAGCCCACATGATTACGCATGCAGTCTTTGTGAGATTAGTGCTAAGTTCCATTTGCTAGAAATGGACTTAGAATTTTGCAGTTGTTACCAGACACATTCACCTGTTTTCTTTTTCTTGTGGTGTCTTTGTCTTTCTTGATTACCACAATGATACTTTTGAAATACTCAGGCAAGCAGAGGATCCTGTCCTAAAGTTGATCCCACTTAACAGGTCCTGAAGTATATGCATTGTTTCTTGTGGTTTCTGATTCTCCTGAAATCCTAGTTTCCTGTTTATGTGAGTTTCTTTTATAAGGAAAAAGAAATGTGAACCACTGGGCTTGCCTTCCTGCTGGTCTGTCTTCTCCCATTCTGTTTAGTTTTCTGAAGCCTTCAGACCGATTCTAACTTTCGGTGTGTGATCTAGCTGTTTATCAGGAAGCATGAAACAACGCAGTTCTTAGCTTAATCAAATTAATGTTGTGGTGTCTTATATTTTATTACTCTTAAGTTTTCATTCCTTGATTATTATCTCTCTTAAAGATTTTATCTTACTTACCTTATTTGTCATATGATATAAATGTCTGATGGCCAGTTACTACCCATCGCTCTGTTGGAAAGGCTGGAGAAGCTGTTTACTTGCTCAGGGGATGACAGACAACTCCCATCTTTGGATGCTCTTTAGTACACTCTTGCTGTTAGAGTTTTTACCCCCAGCCAGACTTGGACAACTTTGCTAGTCACAAGTGGGCCATGTGTTGCCCAAGCTGAAGGGTTTGACTTGTTGGGAGTTATGGCTTTGCTTTGTGGTTAGATTGCAAAACCAAGCTCAGAAAGTCCAAGTATGTGAAAATGGATGCTGTTTGCTTTGTAGATATCTATTTAGATACAATTGGGATAAAATTTGTAGTTTTTACTTATGTGTTACCTTGTTTCATTCAGTATGAAGGCTTAGAGTCATCGTTAAAGGAGGCCAGCTTTGAGAAGGAGTCCACAGAAGCACAAAGTTTGGAGGTAAAAAAAAAAAAAATGATTTAAAAGCTAGGGAAAAGATTCTTATTAAAAAGCAGACTTTAAAATATGTTATCTTCTTAAAAATAATTATTTCAGAAAAATATGAAACATCATCAGGATCTTAAAGCTTCCAGAAAAAAATTGGAGGAAACAACATTGTAGGTAGCATAAAACATTTAAAAACAAGTCAATTTGAGCCAAGAAGACAGAGGACTCTTTCACAAATTTAGGCATATCAGGAGACAATAAATTATGTAAGTTGTGGACCATATTACCTTTTTCATCCCGTGACAGTAGGCATTAACTAGAATTCAACCAGAGGCTTACTTTGTAAATAGAGCATGCTGGTAAATGTTTAATCCCTGTGTACAGACCATTTCCTGAGTTCTGTGTTAAAAATACACCATCATGGCCAGTTTTCAATCACTTACATGATGTTACTGACTGGGTAATTTAGGAGAGTTACAAAGCTAACTCTCTGATAATTTTCAACTTAGCAGACAGATTAGGATGTGATGGGTGCCTTGGTACTGTTTACAGATGGAAGTGGTGTAAAGAGTGAGTAGTGACCCCATAGAGTAGAAGCAGCCTGCTTGGCTGGTGACAAAATGGAAAACAGACATTGTACTTTGGCTTATGTATTGAGTCCAGTGTGGCAATTCTGTCATTGTCTGTCCTCAGTAGAAAGTATGTGTGTTGTGATTTAGAATCCCCAAGAAGTTATAGACTCCAAGTAAATTACTTAATTTTTTTCTTTGTTTGTTGCCTATGAATATCCTCAAGAATCTTCTGTTGCTTTGTGTTCTTTGGTGAGCCTCTGTGATAAGCACTAACAAAATGGGAATGTATTAGTTTCCCAAATGAAAGGAATTTAGGCAGGTGTGGGGCATGCCTACCCCTATGGCACTTGGGAGGCTGATACTGGAAGCTTGCAGAGTCTATCTCAAAAAAAACAACAAACAAACAAAACACTAGCAACAACAACAAAACAGCCAAAACCCAAAACATGTAAATAGTTTTAGAAGCTAACAGAAAAGTTGTTACTGGATAACAAAGACAAACATTTATTTAAGGTTGGTGTTACAGGTAATGTAAACACCATTTGTTCTTATGCCAATGGATTTATGTGAATTACAAGTCAGATGAATTGAGCTTTGGCCAAATTAAATATTTTAGAAATTTTTCTGTTAATTTTACTAATTTGTATGAGGAGTAATTGTAATTGGATACGAACTATAATATAATACAAGTTTTACAAAGTTTGATAGTTGACATTGCAGATAAAAATTAAATCATAGAGTAATCTTGATTCATGTCAAAAGTCTTATAATGAAAATAGTCAAATTTGGGGAGATTGTAGGTAAACACTCTTAAACTATTTTAACACATTTTGATTTTGTTCTTTTTAACAAGTTTGTTGAAGGATCACAAATACCAGAGGTATGTTAACTATAGTATTTAAAAACCAATCTAATAATCATTTTAAATTAAAAAGATTATAGAAAATATGTCATTCAATGGGAAATCTGATACAATCTTAATTTTTTTAATTTAATTTTATTTTTTATTATTAGTTACATTTTATTAACTCTGTATCCCAGCTGTATCCTGCTCCCTTATTCCTTCCTAATCCCACCCTCCCTTCCACAGTCTTGATTTTTAAATTCATTGTACTTTTATATTATATCAAACTTGTCATTTCCCTCCATAACATGCTTTTTAACATGCTTTAGAACTAGATTGACAAGCTAGATTTTCTACCTGTGCAGATTTTCTACCTGTTTTTTTAAGTAATAGTTTTATTAGGAAGCAACTGTATTAATTCCTTTAGTGAGCTCCTGGTTTCTCATGGTTAGCTGATGGGACCCTGAAATGCTTATGCTCTTTATAGAAGTTGCTGACAACTGCTAGACCTGTTGGCATCTTAATATCAGAGAAATGAACAAATATGTAAAATGTTCCTAAACTTGTTTGATTATACTCATCTGGTTTTTACTCTAACTAAAAGTTCTTATGTCTGGCTGTTAACATTGGCTTTCTGTTTTAGGCAACCTACGAAAATCTAGAAAGATCCAGATCTAAACTTGAAGAAGAAATTACCCTCCTAGAGAAGAGCTTAGAAGAAGAGAGAGCTAAACATTCTGAACAAGATGAGTTGGTAAGTCTTGTAGTCCAAGAGAATTATGAAAAGGAAGTTATTAAATTTTATACATCTATATGATATTGATTAAAATATTACATACAAGCCAGTCATAGTGGCATAAGGCTATAATCTTAGCATTTAGGAGGAGGCAGGCATTCTAAGCTAGCCTAGGCTGCATAGAGAGAGGAGACACTGTCTTTAAAAATGTAAGTAAACAAAAATAAATAAATAAAACCCTCAAACCAACTAATAAATCTAAAAAACAAACCAAATAATAAATCTAATCAAAGCAAAATAAAACAAAAACTTGTTAAAAAGAACAAAATCATGCATGTGAAAAATAGATATAGAAGGCCATGGAGGTAAAAAATTTTCCAGATTTAATCTTTTCACTTTTAAGATGTTACCATGGGTCTTTTGTTTGTTTGTATGTTTTGTTTTGTTTTTTTGTTTGCATATTCCTTTTTTCTTGTTTTCACTTGTTGAGAATAGGGTCTTAGAATATAGCCCAGTCTGTATAACTGTGTAACTCAGGCTGGCCTCAAACTCATGATTTTTCTTTCTCTCCCTTCCAAGTTTTGGGATTACAAGTGTACACCCCTACATTTGTCTGTCTTACGTATTTACACAGAAATTTTCCATATTTGCTATGGAAATAACATATGAATAATCATATACTTAGGTATTTTTGAAAATGTAATATGTTAAGAACATTATAAAAATTCTGGCATAAGGAAAATCTTGGTGTGTGTGAAGTTATATAAAATATGACATCAGTGGGCTCCTCTTGGACCTGAAAAGTACTGTGATACCTTGAAGCTGAGAAGATGTACTGTTGTTACATTATTTGTTAGATTGTTTTGAGCAGATGGTAAGCACACTGACAAGGCATCGTTATGTGAGCACTAACTTTTATTGATACTAACTTAATAGTGTACATAACAAATACATGTTTTCTTGAAGCTAATGGGATTATTAATACTTATTGACCAGCACTGTTTTTCCAGATGGCTGATATTTCAAAAAGGATTCAGTCCTTAGAAGATGAATCAAAATCTCTCAAAGCACAGGTAGCTGAAGTAAGTTGAATTACTTTAATTAGTAATTTGAAAAATGTTTACATTTTCATTTTATTTTTTTTACTAGATTCTCTAGAGGAACAGAACTAATATGCTGACTATCTACCTATCTATCTAGCTAGCTATCTAAAGGACATTTATAAGGGTCCAGCTAGCCCAACAATAATGGTAGCCAACCAACAGAAACATCCAAGAATCCAGTAGTTGTTTAGTTTATGAGACTGGATATCTCACCTGGTCTTCAGTATACACCAGAATCCCAAAGAACTAGGCTCCAACGCCAGTGAAGGAATGAACTTGCCAGTGAGAGTGAGGGCAAGCAGGCAAAGAGCAAAAGCTTTCTTCTTCCATGTCCTTTATATAGGTTGCCACTAGAAGGTGTGGCCCAGATTAATGGATTAATATTCCTATCTCAAAAGATCCTGATTAAAGGTGATCTAAGATCTATATTAAAGGTGGGTCTTCCCATTTCAAGTTATTTAATTAAGAAAAATCCCTCACAGGTGTATCCAGGTTGCTTGGGTTTTAGTTAATTCCAGATATAGTTAAGTTGATAACCAGGAATCCCAGCACTCAGGGAGGCAGAGGCAGGTGGGTTTCTTTGAATCTGAGGCCAGCCTGGTCTACAAAGGGAGTCCAGGACAGCCAAGGCTACAGAGAAACCTTGTCTTGAAAAAAACCAAAACAAAAATCTATTATGCCCGGCTGTGGTGGTGCACATCCTTAATCACAGCACTTAGAAGGCAGAGGCAGGCAGAGCTCTGAGTTCAAGGCCAGCCTCATCTATAAAGGAAGTTCCAGTACAACCAGGGCTACACAGAGAAACCCTGTCTTGAAAAACTGAAAAAACAACAACAAAAACCCTGTCACATTAGGCAATTAAATATTACATTAGTATTTGATATATATATATATATGTGTATATATATGTATATATATATATATGTATATATATATGTAAATAGGGAATGCATTTTTTTATATTGGAGTTACTTGTGTGAGATTGATTTTTCGCTGGGTAGGTTTGCAGTATGGCCATATCTGCGCACTCATGCAGTGGTGCAGCATGTGACAGTAGTAAACACAGATTGCCTCCTGCAGTGTAGAGTTTAGGACAAGAGACAGAGAGTAAGTAGTGTTGTGGGAATTTCTCTGGAATGAGCACTCCCACACCTCTGAGCATGGAAGAGAGGAGCTGTCACCAGAAGCCAGGACAGCTCCTGAAAGGCTTTGATGCCGACTTCAGTTTGTATTCTAAAACCACAGGGTTGGGTAGGCAGGTAAGCAAGACTTTGTCAGTTGGTTTTTAAGGGCAACGACCATTGTTTCGGCTATTCTGAAGCAATGCTGTAAGTAAGTTACTAAAAAAACCAACAAAGCAGCATCTAGTAATTGGTCTTTTCTATCTTTTCTACTTCAGTAGTTAACAGAATTGTCTGCACAGTACACGGAAGGTTGCATAATTTGCCCAAGTTTACATGGCAAATGAGTGGTAGGGCTAGGGCTGGGTTCTGGATCTCAGCCAGCCTTTGATTGCTGTGTCATTCTGCCTCTGTTACTAATAGTGCCATGTTCTGACCTTTGTTTGAATTGTGTTCTCTGGAGTATATATAAACATGAGGTATTCTGTTGAATTGTTATAAACTGTGCATTTGTCTGCTTAGACCAAAACAACCTTCAAAATATTTGAAATGAATGAAGAGCGACTTAAGGGAGTAACAAAAGATGCCTTGAATGAAAACTCTGAACTTCAGGAAAGCCAAAAACAGGTTTGTAGTCTCTAGCAGCTCTTCTAGAGGACCCAACACTGTTTCCTGGCCTCCGAGGGCACCTTAATCATGACCACACATGCACACAGAGACAGACACATACAATGTCACTAAAATAATAATAAATTTAATAATTTTTAAAAGTGAAAGACGACATTTTCAGCTACGCAACCTCAGCGTTATAAGCGGTTGTGTGAACTAAGCTCAGGACCTCTTGGAGAACAGTGCATGGTCTTAACCACTGAGCAGCTGCTCCAGCTCCTGGTTGTCTGTCACATTTCTGATATTTTGACAGATGCTCATTTGTGCTGCTTTTTCTTTTTTATAAAATTTTGACATTGCCACATTGTCTTCATTTTCTACTTTGGGTTTTGAGACTCAAATGCTGTGTAGACCATGGGACCTTTTTTGCTCCTGCTCTTTTTTTGTTCACAAACTGTTAATATCTTTTTTTCTTTTTCTTGGGGTGGGAGGTGTTGGAGACAGGGTTTCTATGTGTACTAGCCCTTGCTGTCCTGGAACTCTATAGACCAGGCTCAGAGATCCTCCTGCCTCTGCCTCCCAATTGCTGGGGTCAAAGGCATGCACCACCACTGCCCAGTTTACATCTGACTTTTTATATGTGTGCCAAATTCAGGTCTTCGTGGGAAGTACTTTACTGACTAAACTTCTTCCTAGCCCATTTATTTGGATAATTTATATGACTGTTTGAGAATGTGTATTATTTTTATAATGTTTTTATTCATTCTTTGAGAATTTCATACACTGTCTTTTGATCATACTCAATTCCCTCCCCTAGCTCCTTCCAGAGGCTCCCACCCTCCCTACCCACCCAACTTCTTTTCTTCCTCGCTCTTGCACTCTTTAAGTCTGGTTTGTGTTAGCCAACTTACTCCTGGGCCTAGGGCCTATCCTGAAGTGTGGTCAGTATACCAGGTCTCACACCATTGAAGAAAACTGACTTCCTCTCTGCCAGTAGCAATCAGTTGCCACTAGCTCCTCAGCTATGCATAGGACTTCCTGCTTTCCTCCCTTCCTCTGTCCTGGGATTTTGTCTGGCTTGAGCTTGTACATGTTTTGTATGTGCTGTAATAGTTGCTATGAGTTCATATGTCTACTACTCTTTTGGTTGTGGCTGGAAAACTGTTTTCTTGAAGTTATTTACCACCTTTGGATTTTTCCATGCCCTCTTCTGCATAGATTCCAGAGCCTTGAGGGGAAGGATGTGATATAGGCATCTCATTTAGGATTGAACACTCCAACATCTCTTATTCTCTGCATGTTGACTAGTTGTGGGTCTGTGTTATTTATTGCCATCTACTGTGAGAAGAACTCTCCTTGACAAGAGTTGAGCAATCATTGATGTGTGAGTATAGCAAGGAGTAAGTTGTGAGGAGTCCTTTTATTGCTATGCCATTTTAGCAGAGTAATAATAGTAGGTTCTTACCAGCACAGGGTCTTTTGGTCTTCTTGAAAGTATCAGGTATGGATTACTTTTTAATTTTGTTTTGTTTTCTTCCTTCCTTCCTTCCTTCCTTCCTTCCTTCCTTCCTTCCTTCCTTCCTTCCTTCCTTCCTTCCTTCCTTCCTTCCTTCTTTCTTTCTTTCTGAGACAGAGTCTCTATGTAGCTTGCCTTAAATTCACAGAATTCCATCTGCCTCTACCTCCTGAGTGCTGAGATAAAAGATGTGTGTCACCATGCTGGACTAGGTTCTTTCTTGTTGAGCTGGCCTTAAATCCAATTAAAAAGTGGTTGTTTACTCTTACAGCATTTATGCCACTACTGTACCATAGGTATATCTTGCCAAGCAGGTTGTTATTGTAGCTTGCATGGTTTACAGGGGCTGAGATTGATGATTACTTTTTTCTTCTGGTAGTATGCATAGCACCTTTCAACACTATTGAAGTTAGCCAATAGGAATAAAATTTCCACTGAGTACCAGCTAGATTCCAACATGTTGGCTCACGTATATGGTTTCTTCAGCAGTAGGGTCTTACTGTTAAGACCCTTCTTTTCTCCCTCCCTTCTCTACTTCTCTTTCTCTTTTTTTCCTTTCTCTTTCTCCTCTTTCCTTTTCTTTTCTTCTCATCCTCTTTCTCCCCCCTCTTTCTTTGTACTTATAGTTGAATCTCGGGCTCTGTGCTAAGCAAACTGATACTAAGTTATATTTTCTAATCTCATTTCCTTTTAAAATAAAATTTATTTATTTAGAGATGACATTTCATTAGGTAGTTCAGGGTGCCTCAAAGTCATGATTTTCCTGCCTTCACCTCTGAACATTGAGATTATAGGTATGAACCATCATGTCCAGCTCTTTGATAATTTTATTATTGTTGTTGTTTTGTTTGTTTGTGTTTCGAGATAGTGTTTCTCTATGTAGCTCTTGCTATCCTGGAATTCCCTGTGTACACCAGGCTGGCTTTAAACTCATAGAGAGCTTCCTGTCTCTGCTTCCCAAGTGCTGTGAATAAAGGTGTGTGCCACCACTACCTGGCTTAATTTAATTATTTTTGGGTTTTTTATGCTTTTCTCCTGTTTCATTGTGAGGATATTGAAATTTTTTTTTCAAGTGCTTTTCACTTCATTATGTTGTCTTATTTCTTGTATTTATTTTCTGTCTATCCTAAAAGGTTCATATTTGGGGATTCATGGCTGACTACTTAATTAATTATGAAGCAGTCCAAATCCAATGGAGAAGTTTAGGTGTGTCCTTTATGAGTTTTTCTGTGTTATGCTATAGCTATGGTGTTACTGTGAGGCTCCCTAGTCGCTGGTATCTGAAGATTGTTTTCATAGAAGTGATTCTGTTCCAGTTTCCATTTGTGGGATGGTAGTCTTTTCTTTCAGTCTTGTAGCTCAGTGAGGTCAGGAGAACTGGTGTCTCACTGCTCAGCAAGTCAGCTTTTATCTCAGCTCTTATATTTCCTATGTGTTACTCTTACTTTCCCATCTAGTGGAGGTATCCTAGAGTCTCAGGTTCCATATTTCAAAAGAATAACTATTTTTGACTTTGTGTGTGTGTGTGTGTTTGTGTAAAAGAAACAAAGGTAAGAGATGAATGGCAGCTGGAGAGATGGCTCAGAGATTAAAGAGCACTGGCTGCTCTTCAGAGGTCCTTTCAATTCCCAGAAACCACATGTGGGCTCACAACCACCTATAATGAGATCTGGGGCCCTCTTCTGGTTGAAGGTGTACATGCAGACAGAACATGGTAAATATAATAAATAAATCTTTACAAAAAGAACCAGGAGGTGGTTACACATGCCTTTAGTCCCAGCACTCAGGAGGCAGAGGCAGGTGGATCTCTGTGAGTTTGAGGCCAGCCTGATCTGTAGAGCGAGATCCAGGACAGTCACGGCTACACAGAGAGAATCTGTCTCGAAAGACCGGAGGGAGGGAGGAGAAGAGAGTAGGAGGGGGGAGGTAATGGCAGAAAATGAGAAGATGTGTATATTCATGTTCTGGGAGAAGACAGAAGCAGGGAGGGAGAGAGGAAGGAAGGAGAGAAAACAGGACCATTTCTGTGTGTTGGTATGTGCATATGTGTGCAAATATGTACATATATGGAGGCCAGAAGAGGACATTAGATCTCTTGGAGTAATAGGCACCTGTGAGGTGCCCAATGTGGGTGCTGGGAACTGAGTGTGGATTCTGTATAAGAACAGTGCGTGCTTTTACCTGCTCAGCTGTCTTTCCAGTGCCCCAGTTCTCCTCTTTTAGTTTCTACTCATCCTCTTGTTAGTAGTGCCTTCAAATCATGAGGCTTTTGAGGTTGTGTCAAATTGTTTTATTTTCTACTTTTCCATCTGGCTTAGGTTTCTTCTAAGTCTGTGGAGTCTTTTATCACAACTTTGTCTCTTCCTTCTTTCTATTTCTCTAGTTTTCTTCATTTCTTTTTTTCCTTTTCGTGTTGATGCCTTTTCCTTTTACATCTTTTTTCTGCCATCTTAGATTTCAGAGAACATGGTGGTGATGCCTATTGCAAATTTCCCATGCTATAATCAAAGTTCCCTTCTCCTCCTACACACACACACTTCAAAATCTTATCATGTAGCCCCAGGTTAGACTGGAACTCACAGTGCAGTTCAGGCTGGGATTATCTGCAGAATATCTGTTCTAAATTAATAGTATTCTTAAGGGTTACCTATCTTCAGTACAAAACTGCGTGGTCACTAAAAAAATACCATTAGGGTAACAGAGGTGTGCCATGTTCTATGGGATACAACAATAGAAAGAATTGGCTGGATTTAACAGATAAGTATGGTCATATACCTTATATTTGATAAAAATTAACTTTGGATATCAGTTGAATATTTGATATTTTACATTCTTCTGTTTTGAAAGTTCTTTGTAGCCAAGTGCTGGTGGAACACACCTTTAATTTCAGCACTTGGAAGTCAGAAGGATCTCTGAGTTCCAGGAGAGCCAGAACCACACAGGGAAACCCTGTTTTGATAAACAAAAACAGACAGACAAAAAAGTTCTTTATAGGGGCTGGAGAGATGGCTCAGATGGTTAAGAGCACTGTTTGCTCTTCCAAAGGACTGAGGTTCAATTCCCAGCACCCACATGACAGCTCACAACTGTCTGTCACTCCAAGGGATCTGACAACTTTGCACTAATGCACATAAAATAAAATTAAACAAATTATTTAAAAAAAAAAAGTTCTTTATAAATGGGAGCCACATCTGGCCTCCTTTTTAAAGTAGACCTACCTTTTTAGTACCTTTTAATGATTCATCTAAGTATTTAAATAAATGGATCTAAACATTGTGTTGACTTTCACATCTTTTTTTATTTTTATATCAGCTTTTACAGAAAGCCGAAGTAATGAAAGAACAAGTGAATGAACTCGAGAAACAGAAAGTAACATTTGAAGAATCCAAAGTACAGGTGGAACAACTTCTAAATGATAAGGAAAATCAGATCAAGGTAATGGCTCTTTGGTTTTAGTGTCTAGTTGGTTACAATTTATACTTACTTGGAAACTTAAATGCTTTAACAGCTTTTACTGCTGTTGTGTCTTTTATCACATTTCAAGTGCTTCTTGAAGATGCATATATTTGTAACATATATGTCAATACACTAAGTCTTTGTCCCTTCAATAATTTAGCCTGATATTTATTAATAAAGAAGAAAATAATGGTCTTTAAGATGCTGACATGTGCTACTGCTAAGAAGATGTTGAAAAGAGCTTGAAAAACTGAGTTTATAGTTTATATGTATTAACTGAATATTCTTAGTAACTCTACTAGTTGGTGTTACTTTCATCAATATAAAAACTTTTTTAAAAATTGAAACTCAGGCAGGCGTGGTGGTATATGCCTGTAATTTCAGCACTTGGGAAGGCAGAGGCAGGGGGATCTCTGTGAGTTTGAGTCCAGCCTGGTCTATAAAGCAAGTCCAGGATAACAAAGGCAGAGAAGCTCTGTCTCGGGGTGGGGATGAATTGAAGTTTGGGCTGGGGAGGTGGCTTACTGGATAAAAGCATGCATTTCATGAACCTGATGATGTGAGTTCAGACCCAGAACCCAGGTAAAAGCTATACAGTAGCACAGTATCCAGTGCCTGCGCTCTGTAGTAGAGATGGAGGCAGAGTCTAGGTGCTCTCAGAAGCTTGAGGGCCAGGAGTAGAGAGACCCTGTTTCAAACAAGGTGGAAAGGAAAGGTTGTCCTCTGACCTCTGTAAGTTTGTTTTGGCTGTGTACCTGCACCTGTACATATGAACAGGTACACACATACACCAATTGGAACTTGGCTCTAATTGAAGGAATAAAATGGTTAACAGTACATAGGCCATTGAGAGCACTTGGTGGGCAGAAGCACTTCCTGTACAGTTCTGACAGCCTGAGCTCATTTTACCCTTAGGGCCCACACTGTGGGAAGAGTGAACTCTCATAAACTGTCCTTTGACCTTGTGTGTGCCGTAGCACACAGTTGACTCATTGTGTCTCTCTTTTCTAACTGAATTCAACCAGTCACAGGATGGTGCAACTAAAAACTCTAGGCTCATAAGTTGGTTCAGTCAGCCTCATGAACCTTCTATGAAAGTACAGGCCCCATAAACCATATGACCTGAGCTTCATCCCCAGACCATATAAAAGTGAAAGTAGAGGGCTGTCGAGATGGCTCAAAGGTTAAGAACACTGGCTGTTCTTCAAAAAGTCCTGAGTTCAATTGCCAGCAACCAAATGGTGGCTCACAACCGTCTGTAGTGAGATCTGGTGCCCCCTTCTGGTGCACAGGCATTTGTTTAAAAAAAGTGAAAGTAGAAAATAAATTATATTTGTTTAAAAAAAAGTGAAGGTAGAAAACCAGTTGACTTCAAAGTTGTTCTCCGACCTTCATGTGCTTGCCCATGCATAATTGATACACAGACATATTACCATTTGTTTATTATTTAATAATAAATGAAAGAAAAAAATCACATCTGTACTGTGCATGTGCAGACTTTTCCCTGTTGTTCCCTACATTATACAGTATAGCAGCTGTATGTAGCATCTGTATTACATTAGTATTATAAGTAATCTAAGTGATTTCATGTATACAGGAAGATACATGTAGGTTATATGCAAATACTTTTAGTGTATGGATGGGGACTTGAACATCCGGGGCAGTGGGCGAGGCAGGCATCCTGTAACAGTGCCTTGTGGATGCTGAGGGTGTCCGTACTTTCCTCCCTCTAAGCTTACTCTACTTAAGGAGCTTAGGGTTCTTTCTAAATAGAACAGGAATGGGATCTGAACCCTCAGCACCGCTCAGAGGTGGAGGGCATTTTATTTGAGACAGAAACCTCGAAGAAAGAAAAGAGATTGGCAGGTAGCTTTTGGTGGACCTTCCAGAGCAATGCATGGTATGTAGTCGCTTTGTTACTTTAGTGTCACAACCAATCTTGGCCAGTAGGCTCAAAAGCTATGTGACCTGTGTTACTAGGAAATGTCCTTACATCAGATTAGAAAAGCACTGCTGAGCCAGGCATGCTGGTGCACACTTTTAACCCCAATACTGGGGAGGCAGAGGTAGAGGCAGGCAGTTTTCTGTGAGGTACAGTCCAGCCAAGGTAAGACTGTATCAAAAAACAAAACTAAGCAAACAAAATTTCTGTTGGAGAACTTCCAGTGCTCTATTGAAATTTCTTTACAATGTGTTTTTTCTGTTTCTCAGTGGAACTCTTCAGCTAGTTATTTAGTTGAATAAAATCAAGAATCTATGGCTTAGTTTGCATTATGTTGGTATCTTTTCCTGGGAATGTGCAAGTAAGTTTCAGTGTCCTAGAGAGCAGAGGTATTGGATTCCCTGGAGCTGAGGTTGCAGATAGTTGTGAACACCAGTTATGGGTGCTAGGAATTGAATTTAGACCTTCTGCAAGAATAATATCTGCCCTTAACTGCTGAGCCATTTCTCTAGCCAGAGATATTTGCTTCTTTTTAGTTGTTTATATATTTGTATGTGCCTGTGTGTAGGTATGTGCGTGCGAGTGCAGTACCCAAAGAGGTCTGTGATCTTGTTTTTATAAATCTTGTGTTAGTACCACACAGCTTTTACCCCCACATGTTAATGAACACTCTTTAAAAAAAAAAAAAAAAGAGTGGTCATTTAAAAATTTTTCTATATTTATGTGTGAGTGCCACATATGCAGATGTCATGTGTCTGGATGCTCACAGAGGCTAGAATTGGGCATTGGATCCTCTGGAGCTAGCATTACATGCTTTTGTGATATGGGTGCTGGGAAGTGATCTGAGATACTTTAGAAGAGTAGAGTTCTTGGCTGCCTAGTTGTCTCTTCAGCCCAACTGAAGACATGTAAGACATGAAGAAATATTTTAGGGGCTGGGGAAATCTCTCAGATGTACTTGCTGTGCAAACATGAGGACCTGCATTTGAATTATAAGCACCTATTTAAAAGATGAGCATGGGCTTTCCGCTGCTGCGGCCGCCATCTTGCAGGAGCGTGAACCCCAGAGGAGTCGAATACGTGTTCTCCATGAGCCACCATGACGAACACCAAGGGGAAGAGGCGCAGCATGCACTACATGTTCTCGTGGCCTTTCTGCAAGCACGGTGTTGTCCCACTGGCCACCTACAAGAGGACGACATCGTGGACATCAAGGGAATGGGTACAGTGCAGAAGGACACGCTGCATAAGTGCAACCACCATAAGATGGGGCGCATATACGACGTGACGCAGCACGCAGTGGGCATCAGGTCAAGGGCAAGATCCTGGCCAAGCACAACAGTGTATGCATCAAGCACGTGAAAAACTCCCAAGAGCTGCGACAGCTTCCAGGGGCGTGAAGGAGAATGAGCCGTGAAAGCGCGAGAAGGGCACGTGGGTGCAGCTCAAGTGGCAGACCTTGCCCACCTGGGACGCGCACTTCGTGAGGACCAAGGGGAAGGAGCCCGAGTTGCTGGAGCCCACCCCCTACGAGTTCATGGCCTGACATGTAAGCGGAGGCCGGAGCACGCGAGTGTGCAAACGTGTCCAGTCCCCATCCCCCACGAGTTCATATCATGGCCCAATGTGCACATAAAGGCTGGAACGTACCAAAAAAAAAAAAAAAAAAAAAAAAAGATGAGCATGGCTATGAATGCCTGTAAGCCAGCACTGTGGACAGAGGCAGTGGATCCCAGAGCTTGTTGAGTTGTCAGATTTTGAAGTAATGGAGTTCCAGTTCTATGAGAGGTCCTGTCCCTGGGAACTAAGCTAGAGTGCCATAGAGAAGATACTGCCTCATGCTCTTGCAGCTCTCTCTCTCCTCTCCTCTCTTTTTTTCTCTCTTTCCTCTCTCTCCTCCCTCCCCCTTTCTCTCTCTGATACAAAGAGAGGTCTCTCCTCTCTGTCTCTCTGATACAAAGTCACTATGTAGCCCTGCCTGACCAGAACTCATTCTAGACCAGTATGGACCCCAAACTCACAGAGATCTGCCTTCTGAGTGCTGATATTAAAGATGTAGTACCATGCCTGACAAGTTTTGTTTTTTTTAATTTTTTAAGATATAATAGTCAATAAATGTTGTAGTTAAAAAAAAAACAAAACAATTTATATATCTTAATGGTAGTTAGAAAATTAGAGCATGTGAGGACTTATTTATGTGGATTGATTTTTAAATTTTTTTCTGTTACATTTTAAATTTTATTTGTGTATGTATGTGTATACCATGTCTGCAGAATTGAGAGGATAGTTTTTGGAAGTCACTTCTCTTCTTCTACCCTGTGGGTCCTGGGTTTCAAACTCAGGTTGTCAGGCTTAGGGGCAGATGCCTTTACCTGCCAAGCCCCCTCAATGGCCTGGATTGAGTTTTAAACTACTCTACATTTCTAAGTTGTAAAACTGTTAGCAAAGTTATTTCCTTCTCTTTTTGTTTTCCCTTTTGTTCACTGTTCAGACTCTGATCGAGAGCCTGCTAAAGATGAAAGATTGGGCTGCTGTGCTTGGAGAAGACATAGCAGATGATGACAATCTGGACTTGGAAGTGAAGAGTGACCTAGGAAATAATGTTCACTTAGGTATGGTGACTGGCTTCCTTGTCATTGCTCATGTGTGCTGTGCTCCTTGTATACTTGTACTTGGCAAATCCTGTCCAGCTGCCTGAAATGTGTCCACTCTTACCACCTTACAGAACTAGATTGTCCAGTAAGTCCTTCTTATCTCTTTAGAGTTGTAGCCTCCTTCTCCTTTGTCCTATGTGTCATACATCTGTCTAACATCTGTACAACAACTTTAGAATGTGGGTTATAAGAGTACTGGTGCCTGACTCTAGTCCTAATCATATGGGAGACAGAGTAACTGTAATTCATGATGCTGCTTTTGCTTTAGACAGATTATAATACTTCAGTCTTGGGTGCTACAAAATGTTACTGCTGTTTCTGGTTATATTATTGTGTTCACAAAACTAAGGTTCATTTTGCCACTTAATATATTTTCAGATAAATTCCTTTGACTTGTTAAAATTTAATTTGTAAAAATTACAGAATAATAATAAAAATAATGCAGGAAGGTCCCATGTGTGTTAGACCTAATTTGTTCCAGTGGTGATTCTTAAACTTAATGTCCTTTTTCTTGGCTCCCTGACCTGTTTATAATTACCATTCGTCTTGTACCCACAGAGGATAGTTTACAACCTGTCTAGTAGGGGCCTGAAGCTGCATCTAGTGCAGAGTGAATCCTCTCTGTACTATGCCTTTTGTCCTTATGTACCTTTAGAAGTTTATTACATAGCCACTGTAAGAGATTTACAGCAGCAGTAACACAATAGGGTGGTTATTACAATATACCGTTATGAAAATGTGGTTTCTTTTGCTCCCAGTGCTGGAACAGATTGTCTAATTGAGATGTCTGCAAAGTGAGTAGTGAACAGATACAGTGAGGATTGCATCTTAGGCAGAAATCAGTAGGACAGTGTGAGACTTCCTTATGTTACTCAGAATGGCATGTAATATAAAACTTGCTAAGATTGTTGTAGTGGAGAGACATGTGACAGATAGTACAGAGGAGGAGGAGGTTACAACTCTGAAGAGGTAAATAAAGATTTACTAGAAAATCCAGTGCTGTGAGGTGATGAGATTGGAAGGCATTTTGGATAGACTGCTGGTAAAATAGCTAAAAGGAACTATGATGAAGTTATATTTATAGTTTTCATTTGTACCTAATCATGTAAGAAATAGTTTTCTAGTAGGATTTATGCTTACTATTACTTAATTTGGAGCCATGATTTCACTGATACTTTGGATGCTGAAATGCCATAGAATCTAAGCATAGCTAAGTCTGTGGCTGATGTTCTTGTTGGGGCTTTGTAGTACTTTGAAGTGTAGGGATTGCAGGCAAGGGACACTAACTCAGCTTCAAATTGTTTATTGTGGCAAGAAGAGGTGTTGTAAGACTATGTGAGGAACTAATGCATTCATTTGGATGTCTCTAGTAATTGTGGTTTTATTTTTCACTTAGATAATCAGCCAAAGGGAGCTTTGAAGAAGCTGATTTATGCTGCTAAGGTTTGTATTATTATGTAAATACAAGGATGAGGAGGACCTACAGCAATGATTAAATCTATCTGTCCTTAGTAACTAATTTAAAGATTGTTTTATTTTTTTTTCCATATAAGATTATCCAAGAAATATTAGGATTTTCTTTATTAACTGCTTTTTATATTAACTTTAGAAATTCACATAATTTTAGAATTTAAAAAAGTTCAAGTTCTACATTCATTCCTTCAGTTAAAAATGCTTTTAAAATGTTTATTTTATTTATTTAATAGTTTCTATTGTGGATTTTTTCTGGTTTTATTATTTTTTTTACCCAATAGCTCCATGTTCTATTTTGAGAAGTAAATAACAGCTTTGTTTTTTTCTGCTTTATTCCTTCGACCTGTTCTTAGCTAGTCTGTGTAAGAAGTCCTGATAATGTAGTGTGAAGGCTGTTTGATGACAGCTGCATTGATGGTTTTACGTTCTCGAGTGAAAACAGGACTACAGAGCAGTGTGGGTGTTTAGGGAGCTGTGAGTATATGTTGTGTAACTGATTGTTGCTTTTTTTTCTTCATTCCTTCTTTAAAGTTAAACGCTTCTTTAAAAGCCTTAGAAGGAGAGCGAAACCAAATTTACACTCAGTTATCTGAAGTGGATAAAACAAAAGAAGACCTTACAGGTAAGGTTCTTCTCTGACTATATCTCTTTTACTTTTGAGTTTTGATGTTATTGGTAAAGGCATTTCTACTTTTCTTACACTTACGACAAATTTTAAAGCCTGTAAGAATGTGGATTACAGTGTATCTTAGTTTGATTGCTGTGAAAAGACCCCAGGACCATGGCAACTCTTAAAAAGGAAAGCATTTAACTGTGGTTTGCTTATAGTTCAGAAGTTTAGTTCATTGTCATCATGGCAGGAAGCATGGCCTGCATGGCAGCTCACAGGCAAATGGGGTGCTAGAGAAGGAGCCAAAAATTCTACATCTTGATTGGCAGGCAACAGGAAGAGAGTGAAATGAGCATTTGAAACCTCAACGACCACCCCAGTGACACACTTCCTCTAACAAGACCACACCTACTCCAACAAGGCCATACTTCCTAATAGTGCCATTCCCAATAGGCCTATTAGGGCCATTTCATTCAAAACATTGTACAGTGTTATGTGTTTGGTACAGTTTTAGTTGTTAAAAAGTATTAAATTTATTCCAGGATATCTAGGGCTATACAAAGAAACCTGTCTTAACCCCCCCCCAAGTATTTAATTGAAATTTTTAATTTATTGTCTTTCAATTGTGAAATTGATTTCAGTAGTAGAACTAGTATGGTCTGCTATTTTAATGTATAGTTTATTAGTATATATGGAGTAATGTTAGGCCTATAAAAATACTTTTTATATTAAAAACATTAAAAATTTTGTGAATAGTGTTCATATTGAAAAAGAAATTCTGTCAGTTGTACTTGGGATGTTTAAAGTATAAATCATATCATTTTGTTAAAGAAAAATTCATATTTTATATCTGAAAAGAATGGATGGACATATTCAGATACGTGCACTGGTTAACTTTGAATATAGGACCATAGGAAGCTTTTTATTTTATTTTTTCTAATAAACATTTTTTTTCCTTTTTACTTTCTAGAACAGGCTTTACAGAACCAGTTGCATGTGTGTAAATTTTGCAGCTTTAGCAACATTCCTGCTTACAGAGCTTTTCTTTTCCTGCCTCATCTTCCCTGCCTGTTTCCAATTATAGACTAGGGTCACCAGCAAGGGCCCCATTACTGGTTATAAAGCCAAAAACAAACAAACCAGAACTAAACAATCCCCCCCCCCCCCCCGCTAATGAGGACAAGAAAGAAATACCCCAAGTATTTAGTCAACTATTGCTAGAGCTGCCCAGAACCTCACATCTGTCTCTATTTCTCAGCTTATCCTATCTGTCCTTACAAAGGACAGTTAGTTGTGTTTGAATCTGGACCTATGCTCTGTACTAGACCACATTGCTGTGAGGCCAGCTTCAGCGTACTTTTTTCCTTTACAAACCACCAAGATCAGCATTGAGATCTGATGAAAAAAGGGACAAAATGGGTCCTTGTCTGAATTTCAAAAGTGCCCTTCCAACCCCAGACATGGTTTCTCTGTATAGCCTTGATTGTCCAGGAGTCACTTTGTAGATAACGCTGACCTTGAACTCACAGAGACCACCTGCCTCTGCCTCCCTGAGTGCTAGGATTACAGGTTTGTGCCACAGAGCCTGGCTTTAAAACTTTTTTCTTTAATTTAACCTTATTTTTCATAATTTATGCACTTTACATCCTGATTGTAGCCCCTTCCCTCATCTCTTCCCCGTCCCACCCTCCCTCCCTTTTTCCCCCTATTCCCCTCCAGTATTTCTCAGAAAGAGGGAGCCCTCCTTCCCTACCATCTGACCCCAGCCTACCAGATCTCATTAGGACTGCTTGCATCCTCTTCCTCTGTGGACTGGCAATCCCCCCCAACTCCCACCAGAGGGAATTGATCAAAGAGCAGTTAACAGTCCTTGTCAGAGACAGCCCCTGCTCCCCTTACTAGGGAACCCACATGAAGACTGAGCTGTCTATCAGCTACATATAAGCAGGAGTTCTAGGTCCTCTTGTTGGCTAGTCCTTGGTTAGTGCATCAGTCTCTACAGGTCCCCCCTTGGCTCAGATTTGTTGGCTGTGTTGATGTTCTTACGGAGCTCCTGTCTGCTCTAGGTCCTTCTTTTCCCCAACACTTTCATATGACTCCCTGTGCTCTGCCCAGAGTCCTAGCATCTGCGTTGATCCCCTGTTGGGTGCAGTCTTCCAGAGGACATTTATGGTAGGCTCCCATCCTATTCCCTCTTTTCAGCCACTTCTGGGTTCTCTTCTGTTTATCCTTCTGAGTGAAAATTAAGCGTCCTTCCTAGGGTCCTTCTTGTTATTTAGATTTATTAGGTCTATGGATTGTAGTATGGTTATCTGGTATTATATGGCTATTATCTGCTTATAAGTGAGTATATATCATAAGTGTCTGTTGGAGGTTGGTCTAATGCTAATTATTGGCCCTGAAGATATGGTTACTGCCCTCCGCATACACTCATTCTTTTTTGTATAAACCTGCCTAAGACGTACCTGAATGGTTGATTAAACAGCCTATACCAGGGCAGGGCAGAATGGGGTAGGCATGGCTAGGGTTCCCAGGCCTTTGAGGAGAATCGTGGGAAACTGACAGAGAGGAAGAGAGGGAGAAGAAGACGATGATCGGTTAGCCTGGAGAAGAAACCACGTGGGCCTGGGAGGAAGTACTCCAATAATGACATGAAAAAGGCTCAGATGAAGAATAAAAGCAAGTACTTAAAAAATTATCCCATGTAAGGGGAACAGGGACTATTTCTGACATGAACTCAATGGCAAGCTCGTTGACCTACCCACACCCTAAGGGAGGAGCAGTCCTGCTAGGCCATAGAGGAGGACTTTGCAGCCAGTCCGGAAGATACCTGATAATACAGGGTCAGATGAAAGGGGAGGAGGTCCTCCCTAAGCAGTGGACTTGGAAAGGGGCAGGGAGAAGCTGAGGGAGGGAGGGTGGGATTGGGAGGGAATGAGGGAGCAGGATACAGCTGGGATACAGAGTTAATAAAATGTAACTAATAATAAAAATAATAAAAAAAATATAAAAGATGGATGGAAGATAGGATGGTTAAGGAGGATGGCATTGGAAGGGGCCTGGGAAATGGATGGTGAAGTGATTCAGACAGTGTAGGTAGGAATATCTGCCCAGCCCAAGGCAATTATAAAATCTAACAGGTGTCTGTGTCTTATTTATGATAGTGGGCTAGATAATACTTCTGTGGTAATCTAGGGCTAATAATAAGTGTTATATAGCCTAACAGCTTTTTAAAAAATTACTATTAACAAGTGTCTTTCTGGATCTGGTTATCTCACTCAGAATGATCTTTTCTAGTTCCATCCATTTGCTTGCAAATTTAATGATTTCCTTGTTTTTAATAGCTGAGTAGTATTCCATTGTGTAGATGAACAATTTCTGTATTCATTCTTTGGTTGAGAGACATCAAGGTTGTTTCCAGATTCTGGTTATTACAAATAAAACTGCTATGAACATAGTTGAGCAAATGTCCTTGTTGTTCAGGTATATGCCCGGGAGTAGTATAGCTGGGTCTTGAGGTAGCAAACACTATTCCCAGTTGTCTGAGGAAGCAACCAGATTGATTTCCAAAGTGGATGTACAAATTTGTACTCCCACCAGCAGTGGAGGAGTGTTCCCCTTTCTCTGCATCCTCACCAGCATGTGTTGTCACTTTGAGTTTTTGATCATTGCCATTCTTATGGGTGTGAGGTGGAATCTCAAGATTTGTTTTGATTTGCATTTCCCTGATGACTAAGGATGTTGAGCATTTCTTTAATGTTTTTCTGCCATTCAATATTCCTTTGTTGAGAATTCTCTGTTTAGCTCTGTACCCCATTTTTTAATTGGATTATTTGGTTTGCTGGTGTTTTAATTGCTTGAGTTCTTTATATATTCTGGATATTAGCCCTCTGTCAGATATAGGGTTGGTGAAGATTCTTTCCTAATCTGTAGGCTGTTGTTTTGTTCTGATGACAGTGTTCTTTGCTTTACAGAAGCTTTTCAGTTTCATAAGGTCCCATTTATTGATTGTTGCTCTTAGAGCCTGTGCTGTTGGTGTTCTGTTCAGGAAGTTATCTCCTGTGCCAATGAGCTCAAGGCTCTTCCCCACTTTTTCTTCTAACAGGTTTAATGTGTCTGGTTTTATGTTTTGATCCACTTGGACTTTAGTTTTGTGCAGGGTGATAAATATGGATCTATTTGCATTTTTCTACATGTAGATATCCAGTTAGACTAGCTCCATTTGTTGAAAATACTATTTTTTTTTCCATTGTATGGTTTTGTCTTCTTTGTCAAAGATCAATTTTTCTTTCAGAGTTTATAAAGAATTGTGTTGGTACATTGATGAGGATTGCATTGAATCTGTAGATTGCAAAAACTTTTTAAAATGAAAATGTTTAAAAAGATTGAACCGCTGGATATAGAAATTACTAAAAAAAATTATCTTTGCTCTACTCAGTGATTATAGTAGTTGCATTTTTATTAGACCTGAGAAAAACATTAGTATGAAGAGCATAGAAGGTCCATGAGGGAATGAACACTGTTCTCAGGGCACCCTCTTGTAGCACATCTTAATGTATGTCTTAGGACATGTCAGTGTAACTAGGGATCAGCTTTCCAGTTATCCCATTGCTTCCTCAACTCTCATCACCACTCTTCATTTTTTTCCCCAAGTAATATTGGAGATGTGTGTCTGTGAATAGTGTTCTTAATCCAACTTACTTTCCTCAATGAGTCATAAAATTTTTCAGTAATTGATTTTTATTTTTATATAAACATTTTCTTCTGCCTCTCTCTTCTCCCCTAGTCTCTGCCCTTATTGGTAATCATGTACAGTGCTCTTTTTCTGGAGTCAGTGTTTCTCTGTAACCCCAGGCTGCCTTGAAGTCCTGACGCTTCTGTCTTAGCCACCCACATGTTGGCGTCTGTATTGACTCATGACTACTGTCCCTGGCCTGTATAGTACCCTCTTAAAATAAATATGTGGGCTGGGGAGATGGCTCAGTGGGTAGGGCCCTCTCTGCTGAGCCCCGGGATCTTGCTCTGCCTCCCCAGCACTGTAAGAGGACTTACAGGCTTTACTTTGCTACCCTGCTTTCATGTGGGTACTGGGGATCCAAACTCAGGTCCTCATGCTTGTGTGGCCAGTACTTTACATTTTTATGGCTCATTCTTATAAGTAGTTTAGCAGTTGAAATAAAGTTTTTTATTCTTTCTAGTCTTGATTTTGTTTGAGACATAGCCTCTCATTAACCTGGAAAATGAGTATTTGCTAGCTCAAAGTATAACATGTAAAATTTTGGCTTAAACGGCAGGGCTGAGTGTTACTTTATGGTACTGGTGATTGAACCCAAGGCTTTGTGCATTATCAGCTCTTGCCAGCAGCCAGAACTTCAGTGTTACCAAAGTGACGATTTCATTAGATATTAAGCAAATGAAATAGGGAATGCTGAGCAGAAGGGTCTGCCTTTGAAACTCTCATCCTCATAGCCTTCCTTCAATGGCTGTTACCTCTCTGGTTGAGTATTAGATGTGAGAATTACAACGTTGAAAGTTTTGGAGATCTTTACAATAATAATATTACCAATTTAAAGTAGTGTGTTAAAATAGTGAAAAGCAATTCAGCAAACAAAACATCTGACAGGTTTTCTGCTGTTGCTGGAGAAAGTTTGGTTCGCCAATATTTTTAGTAATTGTCTACAGCCATATCACTGTGGGCACGTCCAATCTTGTCCATCTTTAATAGGTTTTATTTTTATGAAATTCCTTTAGTTTTGTTCTTTTATGACTTTTCAAAAATTTCTTTAGAGCGTATTAAGAATCTCCAGTCTGAACAAGCATCTTTGCAGTCAGAAAACACACAGTTTGAAAGTGAGAATCGGAAACTTCAGGAGAAACTGAAAGTAATGACTGAGCTGTATCAAGACAATGAAATGAAACTTCACAGGTAGGAAGTATTCGGTAACTCTGTGAATGGCAAAATGGCTTTAAAGCAGTGATTCTCAACCTTCCTAATGCTGTGACCCTTTAATAGTTTTTCATGTTGTGGTGGGCCCAACCATAAAATTACTTGATTTGCTAGTTATGAATTGTAATGTAAATATCTGATATGCAGCTTCCAAAGGGGTCGTGACCCAAAGGTTGAGAATTGCTGCTCTAAAGGGTATGTTATATATTCATGTTCTTAAAGTATGTGATTATTAGAAGTTATCAACTATATTGCATTATTTGCTTAAAAGCGAATGTTATTTCATCTTGAAGTATGTTTTTCTTCATAGAAAAAAGTGTAAATGATGTTTGAATTTCAAGGGTATATTACAAAATCATCCTTAATGTCTAGTACGCAGCTGTCAAATTATTGCCTTAAACTAATACTGACAAGCAGGCTCAGCGAATCTGAGTGGTCTCTTTGGATGGAAATGGTTGATGTATGTGAAGCTGATTCCTTTCTCCTCTGCAAATTAGTCTTGCTCAGTGTTTCTTCTTCTACTTAGTAAATGACAGTGTCATTTGTCTTGTGTTCAGGGCAGCTGCTCAAGTCATCCTTAAATGCCCCTTTTGTATTATTCCATATTTGTCTTATCAAATCTTGTCAACCTCTGTAACTTTTAATCTGATCGCATTTTACCCTCTGTCACAACTCAGGTTAAAGCCACTATTGGCAGCAGTTGGCTTATCCCAGTAGCCTCAGAAATGCTCATCTTTACACCTTAGTCTCCTGCTCTGTCTTTCTCTGTAATCAAAAAATAACTTTTAACACTTGAATTGTGGCCTCCCTGAGTACATTTAAACAGATTTAAAGCAAACTTAATCTTGCCCTATCAGTGCCTGTTGTCCCTGCCTCCAGGCTATCTCTGTAGTTTATTCTGTTTCTCTATCCTGTGTTGCTCTCTATGGACAGTGGATTTCTTGATTTTTGGTGTGACAAACACATCAGTATCTTAAGGTCTTCCATGCTTTTCCTTTTGCCTTCAGTGGATGGTGTTCCCTTTGTGTTTGCATGGTTTGGTCATCTTAAAGAATGCTTTCCTGGTTGCCCTAACTAAAACAATATCTGCTCTAAACATCAAGTGTGTCCTTCACCTTGTAATAAATTTGCTCTGTAAGAATAATGTTTTTGTTTATATTCCCAGTGCGTAAACTGGGAAGAAAACGGTAGGTTACCAGTCAGTATTTGTTGAACATACAGATACATATGCTCAGTGTGTTACCTATTTATGCTAGGGTGTGCTTATGCATAGTGATGCCTTATTGGTTCTTCTCCTGCCTGGGGGCTGCCACACAGCAGCCCACGAAGTCAGAACGGGCAGGAGATGAGAAGCATCCTGGAATGGCAGGAGAGAACCATACAGGGTTACACATACCCTGGGAACAACTGATGGCTAGTTCGACTTTAATTCCAGACAACAAAGGTTATATACCCCTTGGGTAGTGGGTGGTGGCCTCCAAGAATAGGTGTACATAATTGATTGGAACTTCAAGGGTTCTTAATTTGCATTTAACAACACCCTTCTTTCATAATAGAAACTCAGTACATACTTAACATGTAGGCACAAGGAGGGGAGAGCTAGCAGGGAGAGGCCATATATCAAATGTGTTTAGGGGAGTCTGTGTCTAAAGGCACTCTCCAGATGAAGTCAGGCAGAGAGCAGGGGATCCCACCGAGGGGAGGGAGTTCTGCCTTTAGTGCCAAGCTCATAATGGCTGTCCGGTCCAGGTAAGAACTGCAACCTCAGTCAGCAGGGTACCTCCAATAATGCCCTGTTAGAAGTAGAGAGAAGACTCAAGCACTACTAATCCAGAGACTGCAGATTTTCAAGTATAAATTATAGCATAGATTTTTCATTATTAAACCTAGCAGACTTTCATTTCCCTGTAGGAAGTTAATGAAAGTTACAAGTCCTATCCTTCGTACATTCTGAATGTAAAGTCGGTCCTTTGATAAAATTTGTTTGTAACCTGAAAAAGCCCATTCTTACAGAGCTTTTATGGCCTTTTATGGGTTTGCTGAAAATGTTGAAGGATTTGAGTTTCCTAATGTGAACTCTCTCAGTTGAGGACAAACACAGCAACTTCTTTTAGTTCTTATTCTGTAAACAAGTATCCTTCTTGGAGTTATTGATTACCACATCTTTGGTGAACTATTTATTTCCTGACTTAGCTGTTCACATAAACCCAAGCATATGCTTGAGTGCTATGAATTATTCTTAATGGTAAGAAGGCTACAATGTATTTTGAATACCGTGTATCATATAACTTTGGACATAACTTAAAGCGTTTTTGGATGTGAGTTTAGTGTTAGGAAATCTACAATATATATTGAACAAGACATCTTTGAATTTGTTTGAGACTTGTTTTGTATAGTCCATGGTGGCTTGACCTTGATATTCAGTCAGTGATGACCTTCAACTCCTGAACTTTCTGCTTCTACTTCGCAAGTGTTTGGATTACAGGTGTTTGCCACCCTGTAGTTTTAATTTATTTTATTTTAAATTATGTATATGTGCATAGGCCTGTGCACATGAATGCTGGTACCTGCAGAGGTCAGAAGTGTTGGAATGCCCCAGGAATTATAGATAAATGCAGTTATGAGCCACTGGGAGCTGAACTCAGGTCCTCTGCAAGAGCAGCATGTATGCTTCTTAACTGCTGAACTATCTTTCCAGCCCATAGAGATTGGTTTTTATTTTAAGTGTGTGTGTGAATTTCTGCATGTATAGCTATGCAGCACATGTGTACAATGCCCTCCAACACCAGAAGAAGGCGTTTAGTCCCTTGAAACTGGAGTTACAATACTTGTGAGCTGCCATGTGAGAAAAATATAGGCCTCTGCAAGAGCAGTGAGTGTTCTTAAGCACTGACCCATCTCTCCAGCTCTGTGGCAACTTTTAAATAAAAAATCCATATGTAAAACAAAGTTGTGTATTGTTTAGTTGATACGTTTTGTGAAAAGAGATTAACAGAACCCCCAGGAACCAATGGCCCAGTAGTTGCGAATTTAACAGTTCATGGTCACTTAGCAAAATAGAATAAGCTCAGATAACAAAAACCCATTTAATATATTTGAAAACTAGTAGGGAATATTAATGTTCTATTGAGATATGACTGCAAGATTGTTGGTTACACTCATTCACTTACAGCCTCTGTACTGCACTTACACTTACTGCATTAAAAATTGAAAACTTGCCATTCACCATGGACCCATTAAACATTGATCAAGAAAATGCCCCATAGGCTTGCCTACAGCCTAGTCTTATGGAAGTATTTTCTCAATTGTGGTTCCTTTTTCCAAATGACTGTAGTTTGAGAGAAGTTAACCAAAAACTAACTAGCACAACTATGTTGAGTCCCCAAGTATTATACTCTGTTCTGACGCTACTCACTACTCAAGTTGAATTATGCCATTAGTTGTTCTTCAGGGTGGGAAATGGTAAGTTGTTAGAACTGTTAAAATGCTATATTTAATTCTTGGCTGTATATAGGGTATAATTTAGGTTTGGTTATTTTCTAGATTTTTTTTTAATTTTAGATTCAGATTTAAATACACAGACCTTTATTGCTTTATGACCCTTGCCATAGTGTATGGAAATTTCTTTGTGGGATGAATCATTTCTGGTGTGGTTTTTAAAATTTATTTATTTTTTTAATTAATTACAGTTTATTCACTTTGTAGCCCAGCTGTAGCCTTCTCCCTCCTCCCCTCCCAGCCCCACCCTTCCTCTGTAATCTCCTCCCATGCTCCGCCCCAAGTCTACTAATAGGGAAGGTCCTTTCCCCTCCCCTTCCATCTGATCCTAGCCTATAAGGTCTCATCAAGACTAGCTGCATTGTCTTCCTCTGTGGCCTGGCAAGGCTGCTCTCCCCTCAGGGGGAGATGATCAAAGAGCCAGCCTCTGAGTTCCTGTCTGAGACAGTCGCTGTTCCCATTATTAGGAAACCCACTTGGAGACTGAGCTGCCATGGGCTACATCTGTGCAGGGGTTCTAGGTTATCTCCATGGTGTGATTTTTAACATATATTTTCTTGATGTTTTTCATGACTGATATATTGTGTTGCTTATACTGTAATATTTTATAGTTTAATATTGGAGAGAAGTGAAATATTAGAACCTAGGAGTTTAGAGTGTTGTGTTAAAAATGTGATTTCTTATTAAAGTTCCCTCAGGTGTGGTTGCATGCTTTTAATCCTAGTCCTCAGGAAGCAGAACCACATAGATCTTTGTGAATTAAGAGGCCAGCCTGGTCTACACAGTGAGTTCCAGGCCAACAGGGCTACATTTTGAGACCCTGTCTTAAATAACAAAAAAACCCCAAAAAGCCATAGTTTATTAGTTGTTGGCTTCTTTTTGTTGTTTTGTTTTGATTTGATTTGAGACAGGGTTTTTCTGTGTATCGTTGGCTATCCTAGAATTCACTATGTAGACCAGGCTGGCCTCAAACTCAGAGAGATCACCTGCCTCTGCCTCCCAAATGCTGGGATTAAAGGCATGTGCTACCATCTCCAAGCTAGTTGTTGGGTTCTTATTAAACAACATAATGCTTATTACAGGAAACCTTGATAAATGATACTCATAACAGTTTTTTTTTAAGATTTATTTATTATGCATACAATATTCTATCTGCAAGAGGACACCAGATATCATTATAGATGGTTGTGAGCTACCATGTGGTTGCTGGGAATTGAACTCAGGACCTCTGGAAGAGCAGTCATTGCTCTTAACCTCTGAGCCATCTCTCCAGCCCATAACAGTTTTATTTAAAAAATATTTATTTATTTATTATGCATACAATGTTCTGTCTGCATGTACACCTGTGTACCGGAAGAGGGTACCAGATCTAGATGATTGTGAACTACCATGTGGTTGCTGGGAATTGAACTCAGGACCTCTGGGAGAGCAGCCAGTGCTTTTAACCTATGAGCCATCTCTCCATCCCCTCATAACAGTTTTTAATAATATTTATATAGATGAATTAATATAAAACTGTTAATTAATATAATTAATATAAGAATGTTAATACCAATAGCACTGTAAGGAGCAAATGTGGTTTTGGGTTTATAATGCTAAATTTCATATCAGAAACATACACACCCTTTTATTGCATGTGACCTTTTCAGTAGTGTATAGCAATTGCTCTGTGGGTTGCATCAGTTCTGATATGATTTTTAAAATGTAGTTGATTATATGTATTACGTACATTAAAAGAAATAAAATATTCTTTGTTTTAAGGAAATTAACAGTAGAGGAAAATTGCCTATTAGAGAAAGAAGAAAAACTTTCCAAAGTAGATGGGAGGATCAGCCGTGTGACCGAGGAGCTGGAGACCTGCAAGTATGAAGTACTCTTTCTCTCTTTTCCCTCTCTCTCTCTTTTCTTTTCTTCTCTTCTCTTTTTTCTTTTCTTTTTTCTTTCTTTTTTCTTTCTTTCCTTTCTTTCTCTCTTTCTCTCCCTCTTTCTTTCTTCTCTTTTTATCCTTTTCTTTCTTTGTCTTTTGAGACAGGGTTTCTCTGTATAGCCTTGGCTGTACTGGACTTCCTTTGTAGACCACGCTGGTCTTGAACTCAGAGATTCACCTGCCTCTGCTTCCCTGAGTGCTGGGATTACGGGCATACACCACCACAACTGGTTGGAATGGCTTATTTTTATTTTAATATTTTTCATTCAGATTTTTTGTATTCTGTATGTATTTAGAAAATGTGAAAAGGAAAATGTTTTCTTTTCAGGGACTTTGATACTTAAGTCTCACATTGAATATAGACATATTTTATGTTAATATCAAGTTTGTAGTTATTAATGCTTGGTGGCCTATGCATGTAACCTACTGCTGCAATCCCAGCCTGTAATCCCAGCATTTGGGAGGTGGAATAGAATGATCACAAGATCAAGGCCACCCTTGGCTAAATAGTGAGTTTGAAGTCAGCTTGGGCTATGTGAGACTCTGTTTCAGAGAAGGAAAATGGAGAGGACAGTTATTCAAGCTCAAGTGGCTTTGTTCAAATGGGGAAGAATGTACACATTATTATGTAAAAGTATGGTTTTCTCTATGCTCATTACAGCTACCAAATAATGACACAAAGACCTGTTAAATTTATTAGTTAGCTTAAAAATAACATAGCTGGGCAGATACTCATCTATTCTAACCCACCTATGCTGACCTACTTCCAGCCATGTGCTCTTTATTAACCAATGAGAGATGATGGAGAACAATTTTTACACAACATAAAGCAGGAGATGCTTCAATAATAGTGACAATGTCCAGGGATCTTTTTAGCATTCCTAAAAATAAAAACCTGAGGACCAGGCATGGTGGCATGTGCTTTTGAGTCCAGCACTTGGGATGGAGAAATAGGAAGATTATAAATTTGCTCAAGGCCAGGCTAGGCTACATAGTGAAGAGGCTAGTGAGTGTAATAATAATAATGTATATAAAAATATGCCACATACAACAAATCTTGTATGAGGAGATTTATTGTACAGAAGTGGGGAGGGAGAGAGGAGAGAGAAAGAGAGAGAGAGGAGAAGAAAAGAGAAGAGAAGAAAAGAGTGAGGCACCCCAGGAGGGAGAAATCAGACAAGGGGAAAGAAACCGAAGCAGAGAGAGCAAGAGGTGAGAGAGAGGAGATAGGATCTTTTCATCCTAGGATCCCTTGCAGAGGCAACAAATGATGTAGTCACAGGCTGCCTTAATGTTAACATTCTTTCCTTTTCCTATAATTAAAAAGTGAGCTAGGGAGGGTGACAAGGTAGGAATGAGGATGTTGAACTGCTTCTCATGCAAGGCAAGGTAAAGTCTATAAATGTAGGTTCATTGGCCACCATGCAACGGAGTAAAGAGTAGAAAAAAGGGTAAGAGCACCAAAATGTCTGGATTATGTAGTGGAGGGGAAGCCCCTGCCCTGGAAAATTTAGGGTAGTGGGCAGGTTATGCCGGCCATGTTCTGCAGTAGATATGGACTGAGGAATGCTGGGAAAACCTGGGGCTGTTTGTCCCAGGTCTGAAGCACACCATTCCAGCCTTTTGTTGATAATAAATGGATAACAGGTGAGGACTTTTCTGGCTATTTCTGATCTTGCGGATTGGGGCAAAAGGCTGAAATGTTGGCCAACTCTGGGAAAAGCAGGCTGTTTTGTTGCTCTCCAGGATTTGTGAGAACATATGTGACTGGGAGGAAAAGTGCAGGTCTGGCTTGATACAGTCTGAGAGGTTAGACTGGAGCACCTGTGGCGCTGACTTGGATGTGGACCTGAGAGGATACCAGAACATAAATATGGGCAGAAGATAAAGTTGAGTAGGTTAAGGAGAAAATTTATTTTAGGTGTACATTTGGGAGAGTGAAAGAGAGGGAAGGTTTGGAGTGAAAAAGAGAAAAGCTTGAGTGTAGGGAACCTTCATTTACTCGATCACTGACAGTAATTAAAAAAGGTAAGGTCAGCTAAGGGATATTGAGGCCAAGTTTGGTTGCAGATAAGCTTAGAGGTCCTTAAAGCGGGCGCTAGGGATAGGGATCTGAAATTTTTCAGAGGACATCCCAGAGGAGAGCCTGGAAGAACCGGTGAATGGACTGTTCCCACTGGGCAGGTATGAGTCAGTGGCCTGTCTGAGATGTCCCAAGGGAAAGTTTGACTTCAATAGATTTGTGGAATCTATCTGTTCAACAGCTCGTAAGCATTGACCAGAGACCAAAGGCACAGTTTCCTGGTACAGACTTGGTTTATCCAGCTAGGATTTTTGGCAGCGTGTGAGATGGGGAGGAATAGACAAAACTGCTGGAAGGGGACTCTCATCTAAGGGAGAAGGTATAAACCTTTGTGTGACTTTGTTTTAACCACACTCAAGCAGTGGTACTCATAAGGTTTAACTGAAGTTAAAATTAGGCCCAGGAAGCCAGTGGTGGTGATGGTGTGTGTGTATGTGAGATATATATTATACATGTGATATATGATATATTGTGTGTGAGTATTCTGCCTTATAAGTGTAACCATAAGCTCATCTTTGAGAAATGCTAACAGATTTTAAAGCACATCTTTTTCTGACCTGATTTTTTTGTTTGTTTGGGTGACTGGCTGGTTTGATTTCTTTTTTTTTTCTCTCTCTCTTCTCTTTTTTTCTCTTCTCTTTTTTTTTTTTTTCTTTTCTTTTCTTTTCTCTTTGGTTTTTTAAGGCAGGGTTTCTATATGTAGCTTTGGCTGTCCTGGAACTCATTCTGTAGACCAGGTTGGCCTTGAACTCAGAGATCCACCTGCCTTTACTTTCTGAGTGATGGGATTAAAGATGTGTCACTGCTCCTGTTTATACTTTTGTAGTCATGTGCTCTCATTCCTTACTATATATAACCATAGGGGAATAATTACTTGTTTCTTATAGACAGCGCGTCAAGGATCTTGAAGAAGAGCTGGAGAGAACAACTCATTCTTACCAAGGGCAGGTATGTGTGTGTGATTGCTGTTATGTACACAAAACAATTTGACTCATAGAACAGATGCAGTAGTATAGCTTCTTTCTCTCTTGAGGTGTTCATGAGTCTGTGAAATATTTCTAGGGAGCCAAAGATTCCGAAATCAGAAATTATGAATTTTTTTATTTTATTTCTTTGGGAATGAGGATTATGTAGTCCAAACAAATGTCTGTCACTATTGTAGTCCCATGTTGGGCTCTTGATCTGTTCCTTGGAAACTCTTGTAGTTGATTATCATATGAGGTTTGTTGGAATTTAAAAAAAAAAACAAAACTTAGATTCAGTTTTTGTTTAAGAGTTGAGTAGAGCAGATCATGTGTATACATGAAAGCGTGCTTTCAAGTGCTTGTACTGCTTCAGAGATGTTGGGGCACCTTGAATTCTGTGGCTAGTGCTGGGAGTGAATGCCTTTTATTTAAGAAAAATCTTTATAACTTTGTTTTTTTAGGTTATTTCTCATGAAAAGAAAGCACATGATAATTGGGTAAGTTTTAAGTTTCCCTAAAGCCCTTTATCAAATTCCTGTCAGAAAATACACTACTCATTTTAGATTAGGTTAAAATATAAACAGTATTTAAAATAATCACTTTCTCTTGGTGGTGTCGCATGGGTTAGTCTCAGCACTCAGGAGGTAGAGGCAAGTGGATCTCTGTGAGTTTGAGGCCAGCCTCGTCTACAGAGTAAGTTCCAGGACAGCCAAGGATACACAGAGAAATCCTATCTCAAAAAAACAAAAAAGCAAAAACAAACCAAAAAATTCCAGCCAACTCCCCCCAAACACTTTCTATTAATTGTATTAATTTTACCAGTGATAAAATAATATTAAAGACCACAGACACACTGAGAAGTGATCATGTTTTATTTTGAACTTTATTTGCATTTTTATTTCTGAAAGCAGTTAAGTTATAAAATTACATAGACATTAAAGAAACCCTGGAGGTGGGCAAGATGGCTCAGCAGTTAAGAACACTTGTTGCTCTTCCAGAGGACCTGCCTTTTATGTAGTTCCGAGTATGTCGGATGGCTCACAATTGCCTGTAATTGTAGTTGCAGGTGATTTGACACCCTCTTCTATTTCTTTGGACACCTCCAGTCACACGCACGCACACGCACACACAGCAAGCAGCTCATACTATTGCGTAACTCGTTATATCACATTTAAGCAGAAATTTTTATTAAAATTTAAAAACATTTAAGGGAATTATTACATTTTTACTAGCCAACGTTGTTGGTGTAACAATCTTTTTTGTTCAACATTTATTTTATGATTACATATTGGAAAATAATTTACATAAAAAAATCTTTTTTGATAGTACTAAAATATATTTAAGCTCTTTTTTTCTGTGAATGTTTGTTGGTTGGCTAAAGTCAGTTTTAATGTGTTTTTTACAGTTTAAGTGAAAGCAAATTTGAAAGTAGAGCTTTTACTTGTAAATAGTTGATGGTTATAGACTAAGCTAGCCTTTGTTTATCTTTGTATGGTAAGCTCACTTTTTGCATTTGATCCATCTGTTTTATATATTCTGTGACTGATCTGTAGAGTCCACAGAATGTCTGGAAAACATGTAGAGCACTATATGTTTAGCTTTTATTAGTGATTATTTGGGAATATTGTATGTTCTTGGTATATATTATAACTAAGCTGCCCGTGTTGCAGCACACCACCAACACACAACACACATATACATATTTACAGAACACTTACGTAGTAGCTATACATTGTTCCGTACTTAATAGATGTGCAATATACATTGACTGTATTTAGTTATTAGAAAAATGACCTCTTTTGGCATTCTGTGAAACTGTTTTAGGCCTTTGTAGTTTCCCAGAATTATGGGCATAATGGTCATCTGTTTGCATAGACTTTGCCCTAAGCTTGTCTGCCGGCATGCCTGTTAGGATTAGATACTTACATCACCAAATAATTTTAGGCTCTGATTTTGTATTCAAATAGTAACATTCATTAACAAGTACCAGTTAAACTCCAGGTTTAATGCTTTTGGCTGGCATGAAACGTATTCCCTTTTTTAATACATCCCTAAATTTAAAATGTTTGGTATTGAGTTTATCAAAATAGATATAGACTTGTATGTTTCCAGTTGTAATATTATATGCCATCTTTCTGATATTTGTGTTGCTTTTGCATATTTAAGTTTATGTAGATATATTTGCAAATGTATTATTTTATTCAAGCTGGCAGCTCGGACTTTTGAAAGAAATCTCAACGATTTAAGGAAAGAAAATGCTCTCAATAGACAAAAGTAAGTATATTTGGGGGAATACTTTAAAAGTGTAAAATAGTTTCTTTATGTAATGCTTGTATAAGAATAAATTAAAAAATTGTAATTCCTACTAATCTATTATGAAATATCTAGTTAGTTTTACTAGGTGTGAAGTTTTATTTATTTTTGTTTGTTTGAAATACTCAGGCTACTACAGTGGCACTTTAAAGAAGCTTTTACAAGTTACATTGTAAAAAGTGTAACTTAAACAAATTTAAACCAGTAAGAGTGGAGAAAAAAACAAGCGTGTGCAAAAGAAAGGATATGTCTCTCTGGTACAGCGATGCTTGGAAATTAGCGTTCTTCAGTTCTAGGCAGAATAGTATTTATTGTCTGAGCCCTGGTGGTTGTTGTTGGGTGGTGGTTGTTGGGTGTCATGTTGTATTGTAATAAAGTAAAAGAGTAAAAAAGGGATGCTTTTCTCAAGGGAGGTAGCACTCTTCTAGAGTGTTGGACTTGTTTGCCAGACTGTACTTTCAGCACTGTTAAAAACTAGTTTCTGTCTTCTGGCATATAGCTCGGAAATTAAAGCCAGACAGTTGGTTTTATATAAGGTATAAGTAACATTTGTTTTAAAATATGACATTTAAAGATACTAAGTGTAGGAAAAAAAATAGTAGTGCAATTATTGGGATTTCAGATTTTACAAGGGCAAGTGTAGGTAACTCAGAGCAAAGTTTTGTGCTGTAGCCCTGGCCTTTTCATTTAGATGGAATCAGTTAAACCCCGTCTCACTTTCCTTAGTTATAAATGACACATTTGGCATTAGTTCATCTTGAATGCTTCTACTTCAGAAAAGTAGACTCTGTGAAGTAGCACTTACCAAAGTCTAGTTTTAAAGAGCCAAGTAGTTGTAAACACCACTGCCCTAACAAGAAGCTCTTTACCCCATTGCAGTTTGGGGCTGTGGAAGGGATGTGGGCAGTTTTTCTTTTCTGCACATGTCAGTTTTGTGAGAGTATCTGGTTTGGAAGTGGCCTTTGCTTAAAATGTGGTGTTTCTCTTGGATGAGTAACTCAGAGATGTTTTTCTTTGCAGATTAACTGAAACAGAGTTTAAATTTGAACTTTTAGAAAAAGATCCTTATGCACTTGATGTTCCAAATGCAGCATTTGGCAGAGGTAGTCTTCTTTTTTTTTTAAAACCCCTTGTTTGAAATACATATTATGTATCCATATATATTGTATATATAGTTTACATTAGTGTAAGTTAACATTTTCACTTAACGGATTTTGTAGCCAGGATTCTATTTGAAACTGTTTTATTAACTCTAAGTTTCTGGGTTTTGTTTTCTTAACAATAATGCAAATGCAAAAGGTATCTCCCTTTCTCAGTGATATGCCATGACAGACACTTAATGCTGTCAACTCCTTGAAAAGCCCAGTGCTCTTAATAAGGTACCAATAGTTAATTTTTGGGAAAATGAATGACAAGTACCTAAGTGGGATAGCATTGTGACTGTTTACGCATTAACAGTATTTTGAGATTTACTTCATTAAAGTGAGAATTAACATTGCTTTTCAAAAAATTTCTAAAGTATTAATTTAAAAGTCAGGTCAGACTTAGTCTAAAGTTTGGTTACTATCATTATCCCAGGAACGCAGCAAATCATTTTTGTGAATCAACTTTCATTAAAATGTAAATATGTCTTACATTTAAAAATATCAGATTGCTGTAGCAAAGCATGGAGTGGAACAAGTATATAAGAATTTTAGTGTAAATCTAAGTGTAGGAGTTTAGGGGATTAAAGCTATCTTTTCTGTAAACCATTTGGGTGTAACAGGTATGCTTTATAAGGCTTACTATGATTCAAGTGTGAATTCCCTGGTGTTTAAGTTCAGATTTTGTTGCTGTTTGGAAGCATAACCACAATTTGGGAATAAATATGTTTACAAAATTGTAGGGCTCTTAGTCATCTGGATTACAGAGAAATGTATTGGATGCATGATAGTATAAAGCTGAATCTTTTACTTGTAAGGATTCGAAAGTAATTTCTGATTCTTCAGAGTATTTTATATATTTATTTACTTTTAAAATCTGACTTTTACAAAAGTGTTTTATGGTTGAACATGGCCTGTCTGGCTCTGATTTAAATTAAGCACTTCCATATTATAAACCTTCACAGTTGAAATATTGGGAAACATACTGTCAACAAATTCTCAAACAATATGGGTATTGTAGCAGACACCTTTAAGTCTAGTACTCTGAGGATAGGACAGGAGACTCTGCTCCACAACATCCACCCCAGGCAAGCTAGTGCCACATAATGAGACCGTTTCAAACACCAAAACAAACAAACAAAGCAAACCAATGTCATGCTCTCTAAATCCTTCTGTGCCTTGAGAGTGCCACCAGCATCCTTTGTTTAACCTGTGAGGTTACTTACAGTAAGCTAATGGTTTTGTTTTGTTTGTGGCTCTTTTGTCTGTTGGTTGTTTTTTTATGTATTGCATGTTCTGAAAATTGCATTTATTTAACCACAGCTTGTAGGCTGCCCTCGGCATTGAACAGCTATAAATGGCATTCAACACAGATAGAAACCCCTTCATATTTTATAACTCAGAACTCTGAGGGCTGAAGAGATGGTTCATCTGTTAAGAGCACATACTGTTCTTGCAGAGGACTTGAGTTCGGTTCCTGGCACCCATATCAAATAGCTCATGGTCCCTCTAACTTTACCTCCAGGAGGTCCAATACCTCTGGCCATGTAGACCACTGCCACTTACTTACCCAAACTTAGACAAACAAACGTGCAACTTAAAAATAAAGTCTTAAAAAACATGAGAATAATGTTTAGCTTTATATATAAATGTAAGGTTGACAGAATTCAAGTTCTCAGTATTCATATATACAACCTAATATTTTTTAATTGACTAAATATCTAATATGTTCAAAAGCTTTAAAAACACCAGGCTCCCTATTTTATTTAATTCTGTGTAGTGTTCAGAGCACAGATTAGATTTAAGCTGACAGTAACTTTATGGTACAACTAACTGGATATGCATTTACATCTGCTGTTTTAATTATTCCAGAGCATTCCCCATATGGTCCCTCGCCATTGGGCCGACCTTCATCTGAAACGAGAGCTTTTCTCTCTCCTCCAACTTTGTTGGAGGGCCCACTCAGACTCTCACCTTTGCTTCCAGGGGGAGGAGGAAGAGGTATATTGTTTAAACATTCTTAATACTCTAAATTTCTTCCTTACTTTATATTTTCATCTCAACTTACCTTAAAAATAATCTGTAAATGGACATTTGGAAAGTACAGGCATTCCTTGCACTTATCATAGATTTACTTATTTTTTTAACTGTGTAAAGAATATTGGGCCATATATGGTGGTGTACACCTTTAATCCCAGCAGTTGGATGGCAAAAGAGGATCTCTGTGAGTGTGAGGCCAGCCTGGTCTACATGGTGAGTTTTAGTAAGATTCAGTTAGATTGCATAGTAAGATTCAGTCTAAAAGAATAACAAATAGCAAACTCTCCCTAGCACTGTGTTCTGATGTTTTTCTTTTACGCACAGAGACGTGCAGGCGGCCACCTTAACTCTGAAAACACAGAAATACAGAGTACTCTCAATGCCAGAACGTTGGGTGTAGCACTTTAAAAGTTGTGAATTTTAAAGCATGTCATTGCAGATTTTGGGTTTGAAGGTCTGCAAAAAGAAAGAAAGAAAAAGGAAGGAAGGAAAAGAAGAAAGAAAGAGAAATTCCAAACCCTTCTGCTGCCATGCATTTCCAGTAAGGAATGCTATAAAAGGAGTCAGTGTGCATATTTCAAAACTGTATTTAAAGAATACATAAGATACAGCAGTATAATGAGCATAAAATGTGTTCTGATGAAACGGAATCAGAATGTAGAATTTTTTTAAATAATAAAACATTTTAATTTCAGTAACTTTTTTATTGTAGAAGTTAGAATATGAAAGCCCCACCCCTCTTCTATCCATGGCGGAATTATATATGCTTTGTTAGGCAGAGTTTTCAGGAGACCTAACTCTTACTAACACTTTGAGAAATGGAGCCAGAGTTGTCTGCATTGCTCCCAACCCACCTTGCTCTTTCTGTATTTCCATAGCCAACTTAAGTGTAGGAACTGCTAATGAATGTCTCTAACCATTTATGTAAATGATTTAACAAACTAAATGTGAGGCAGGAGCAAATGAGACTATAAAAACAGCAAGTTAAACCAAACACATCAACATTCTACACTGGATCCACTCATTTCCAGAGGCTCCCAGGCAACCCATGTGCTTCTGCTAAATCAACGCTGTCTGTTGTAAATATTTTAGAATCCTTGTTCTTTGGCATTGGCTTCAAACAGTGAGAATCTAAGTTTCTCAGGTGCCCACGTTAGGTGCTGCAGATGAATGAACAGCCTAGCCTGTTTCCTCTTTATTATCTTCTTGGTCCTCATTTTCCTCCATGAGGAACTATTCTTTACACCTCAGCTCCTGAATTGGGTACTAGCCCTGGCTCACCTCAGGAAGAGCTTTGCTTGCATTGGTTTTGAACTGGAATCTTCTAGGGAATTGACTATGCCACAGACATGGAGCCCTCAGGGGTTTGTATGGAACACTCAAAGGGCTTAAGTTTCGAAATTTACATGTCTGTAGTAAGCCTTGACCTTGCCACCAACACCTTTTACATTGTGACTTTAGTAAGAAATGTGTGTCATGTCATGTTACATACCAATAGAAATACAACTGAAGCCGGCCACATAAAATATTTGCCATTGCATTTTTGTGATTTGTGATACTTTCTATACAATGTTACCACATTTCATTAAGAGAAGAATGTTCATTCATTAAGACAAAGTTAATTTTGTATGGCACACATGGGTAGCAGCTATTCATATCTGAACACAGTATCCTAGAAATAGGATTTAATTGGCTAAACTAATTCACTGGAAGTTGAGTTACATAAGTCAAGGATTGCTTGTATCAAATGTTTATGTTTGAAACTAGAATAAAAATTATTTTTTCTTTCTTCTCTCCTGTTTCAGTGCTTTCCTCTTCTATTTAATTGCTTTTAAGTGACAGTGTATTTAGATTATTTGCAAGGTTGTTTCCTGTCTGTTCAAAAAGTTACAGAAGTTCTTGGTAAATTACCAACAGGCCTACAATCTCCATTTGGACCAAGTTTCCTATGACCAGTTAAAGGACAGAGTGACTCTTTCTCCTTCCTTTTGTTATCTTGAAATTTGAAACCTTGAATAGAGGATTGTGTATAAGGAAAACAATTTATTTTTAGAAAGTGAATTGTATATAACTTGTTCTTAAAACCCTTTAAGCTTTTGTATTTCCAGGTTTGCAATGTCCACCTGGTAGTCACTTGCCTGTGGTTTTGTTCCTGTGGTAGCAAGTGATGTGGAGAGGCTTTGAATCTCTCATTAAGGCCTGTGTGCTTCACTTGAGATATGCTCTGCCAGGTAGACTCCTGAGCGGTCTCCCTTCTCAGCCTTCTCATGAACTAATGAGGAGGATGAGCAAGCTAGAAGAAAAGATACGGGCTTTTGTAGAATGTTTAATCACTGTTGGCTAGAATTAGAGATTTATATTACAACTTACACAATTTTGTCCTCTTAATGTTAGTCAGTACAGTACTTCCAAAGAAGCAATCTGATACTATTTGCTTAGTGGCAGAATCACTGAGATAGGCATATGGCCTCTAGGATGGCTGATAAAAGTCATACCTAAGCAACAAAAACTTGTCTTTCACTTGCTTTTAATTTTGCTTACTATAAGTCTTTACAATTTACTTTCTATACCTTATTTTTCAGTTTTAGTGTTTATTACTTAACCACTGATTATAATTGTAAAATGATGATACTGATAATGCTTAAAGATGAATTTTATAGGCAAATGTTGTTTGATATTTATTTACTCATTTATTTTGTGCTGTGGGATACTCTAATCTCTAATCTATACTCCCAGCCTATAAGCATTTATTTGCTTATGCACATTGTAAAATTATTTTCCCATTTCTTAGATACGGTTTTGGTAGAATTATAATCTAAATCTATCCTAGAGAAGCTTTGGATTTGTATTTGCTTTTAAATAATATCTTGATTTAATTTGATGATAGGTCTTTTGTGTGAGATAAGGAAAGTTTGTGTTTTCTTTAATTAGGCTCACGAGGTCCTGAGAATCTTCTGGATCATCAGATGAACACTGAAAGAGGAGACTCGGGCTATGACAGGTTATCTGATGTTCCCAGAGCACCTTCCGACAGGTCTCTGTCACCTCCCTGGGAACAAGACCGCAGGATGATAGCCCTGCCCCCAGGTGTGTGAAGATAAGTCACTGTTCATATTTGCAAAATATCTTGTGTGGGGGACACATAATGATGGAAGGAAAGAGGGCTGTATGTGTTTCTTATCTTAAAAATCATGATATATTTTAGAAACAAGAGTGAGTCTTTTAAGTCTTAAAAAGAATATTTGGAGGTGACATTATAGGAAGCTTTTCTCAATTGTTTTTATTTCTTATAAAAGTAATACATGTTTATTTTTGAAAATCTGAATAATGTGAGGATGTAGCGCTAAAAGATAAAAATCTCCATCGTTATCTTAGCATCATTTCTTGCCAAGAATTTAGTTATATATATTGAAAGATTTAAACTATATATTCATATGTTCGCAAACACAGACGTTAAAATTCTCTTTCTGCTGCTACTTGAACTCTCAGCAATTGTCCTGCAGGTTCTCCTGCCTTTCAGGAGACTCCTCAGATACTTCCTGGGTGACCAGTGTTCTGGCTGGCGGGTATCTCCCCTTGGGAGTGAGGAGGGCACTCAGCCTTACTGAGATGTGTGCAGCACAGGACGTGCTTCTACTTTGTGGACTTCCCAGGTGTGGCTTGCCTGTAGACAGGATGCATCTGTGGATACCAAGTGCAGAGCCAAGAACAAGATGCCAAGAACAGCACTTTCAGGGCTCCCGAGGCTGAGCTTCTGCTTGTGTCTGGAGCCGAGCCTCTTGCTGCATATACTTTTCAGCTTGTCACAGTCGTTTCATAGCGTTTTCTCATACTGATCATCGCTGGTTTAATTCAGGCTTCTTGATTTGTGGTTGATCTCTGTTCTTAGTCCCTCAAGTTAGCTCTGTTTTTTTTTTTTTTTTAGGTTTTCTCTCAAGATGGTGCTCAGCCTTCACCCTCCAAATCATTTCAGAGTAACAGAGTGGGATTTCTTTCTCTTGTTGACTCCTGCTAGGACAATCACTGTCTCACCAAAACCTGCAGTTCTGTTTGAGTCTTGTGAACACTGTGGGTCTGTCCTAGCTTAAGATGCTCAGGCCTCTCTCACCAGGGGTGCCTGGCTTATCTTTTGGGTGAGGCTTCTGCTTCACTTGCCCCATTATAGAGCCATGTGACTGGAGCAGTGTTTGACTTGGCTTCTTTTTGATAACATCCATTTAGTAAAACAACAGCTGTAGGTTCTCCTCTAAGGACCATGACCTCCCCAGGCACAGACTTTTGAGCAGTACTTTGCATGAATTCCCTCCTCTAAAGCAGTCCTCAAATTCAAATAGAAAATGGTTGGTTACCCTCAAAAGAATCATGGCACTGTTGGGCCAGTGGGTGCATCTTTCTGGAAGATTGTTATTGTAGTATGCAAGATCCATCAGTGCTTCCGTTGGTAACTTTTCTTCTCTTAGAGGACCACCGTGCCTTCTGGCACTGTAAAAGTGAGCCTTCAGGGAAGAAGTTTTCAGGTCAGATAGTTCTCTCTGTGCTATAGCAGAACTATGCTGTGTCTTGAGCAGTGCAGGTTACTGATGAGCTATATCAAGCAAACAAGTGTAGTAAAGCCCTTTTGACCCCATTTAATTTTTACTCCAATTATAATTGATAGTCTGCTTCCCATGTTACTTGCATATACCTTTCTTAAAAAACTGTCCACATAGTAAGACGGCTCAGGAGTTAAGGGTGCTAGCTAACAAGCTTGAAAACCTGTGTTTAGTCCTTGACACCCACATGATGTAAGGAGAGAATTGACTCCTGAAAGCTGACTTTTGAACCTCCACACTCATTTCATGGCATATGTACACACACATACACACACATACACACACACACACAAAAAAAAAAGCGAATGTCTAAAAATCAGCCACATTGTATTTACTGATTTTTGTTCCCAGTAAACTCTAAGAACATTTACTATATTGAGATCAACATTGTTTTGTCTAGTATCTGCCACGATAAGACCCAGATTTAAGGAATAGTAAAGGGCCAAATGTATATATTTTGTGAAAGAATAAACTCTGAGTTTCTGATATTTTGATGTACATTAGAAATAAAACACTGATGTGAAAAAAACAAAACAAAACACTAATGTGGTCTCTTGAGACCTGATTAAGGATTAATTAAGTTTTCAGGTTTTCTACTTCATCCTTATTTTTAATCCCATGTTTGAAGAAAAAGGGTACAATCTGTTTCGATATATGGCTTTCTGTTAACCCCTTGCTTTCATGAGACAACTCTTTGCTAAGATCTAAAAGGTGTGTAAATGAGTTTTAGGATTCTCCTTAGTCACATTCCCTTACTCTTGGGAGCTCATTAAATATAATTCTTTCCATTGACTCTGTTTCATCTGGGTGGTTTCCTTGGGTTTGTGCAGGACATGTTTCAGGGGAGTCCCATGTGGTAAAATCAGAGTAGTGACAAAGCTAACACTGAATTCTAGGAGTTAATATTATGAACCCCTGCATAATGAGGCCATGAGAGGCAATTTGAAGTTATTTGTTACTGTCTGTAGTAGGATAGTACCTTAGTTAGGTTTACTATTGCTTTGATGAAACACATGACCAAAAGCAACTTGAGGAGGAAATGGTTTATTTGGCTTACATTACAACATTGTAGTCCATCATTGAATGAAGTCTGAGCAGGAGCTCAAACAGGGCAGGGACCTAGAGGCAGGAGCTGACACAGAGGCCACAGAAAAATGCTGCTTACTGGCTTGCTCCCAATGACTTGCTTAGCCTGCTTTCTTTTTTTTTTTTTTTTTTTTTATTATTATTTTTTTATTATTTTTTTCTTTTTAGTTACATTTTGTTAACTCTGTGTCCCAGCTGTATCCCGCTCCCTCATTCCCTCCCCAACCCCACACTCCCTCCCTGGTCTCCTCCCTGCCCCTTTCCAAGTCCACTGATAGGGGAGGACCTCCTCCCCTTTCATCTGACCCTGTTTTATCAGGTATCTTCAGGGCTGGCTGCAAAGTCCTCCTCTGTGGCCTAACAGACTGCTCCTCCCCTGGGGGGGGGGGGGG